ATTACACTTGTCTACCTCTGCATTACTCCGTTGAGTCACTCTTACGCCCTGTACACTTGTTGTAACGTTCCTAACTCAAGTCCCCTTGGAGGAGTTACACTTTAATAATATCACAATTATTAAGCATGGCGATAAGAGTAGTTCCACTTACTTTGGGTTGAGTCTGCAGACGGATGGCGTTGCCTGGTGTCTAGTCGGTGCTTCTTCCAACATGGCCTTCGGCCGCAAACGGGCCAAAATTACTGTTTGAATAATCCCCATAATAATTTGCTCTCCGGGTTATATACCTTTATTCATGCTAACTCATTACTTTCCCGGAGGGTGTAAGTCCGCCTATAATGACGTCTTGTCCCAAGTGGCTGGCTGGGATCCTAAGGGGATGGACACGCCCCTTACTGCTAGACCATTTGGCTAACACTTTTACCTGCAAGCGTCCCTCCCTTTACTCAAGTGTAAATTCTGTAGTTAGCAGTTCGATATACATTCAACGTCATTCTGCTGACTAGACATCGACGCGTCAAAGGCTAACGGCCGTCTAACTCCATATGCAGAAATTCTTTGAAGTTCCTTAACCCTTCTTACATCCTCTTTCGTACGTCTTACAAGTATTTCCCAAAAATAATTCTATCCTAACCAATATTTTCTCCTAAAATGTAACAAATACTCTTTTAACATAGCACCGGGAGTCGGCCTACAGGCCACAACATTGAGGTTCAAATTTTGAAACGCTAATCACAAGTAGCGACTTTAAATGTTCATTGGATAAATTTGCCCTGTATTTCGACTTGATGTACTTCATCTGGGAAAAGTTTGTTCACACAAATACGTCGTCCCAAAAATTGAGATAAATTTACAAGCAAATTTATTTAAATTTGGAAATTGCTCAGAGTTCAGAAATTTATAAAATTAGATCAAATTTCGTTCCCTGTATTTGTCTTTAATATATGATAATTTTCCTGAAGTTCAATAATTTCCATTTGAATTTGACTTGGGACATATGCAGCATCACGGTCAAACGGATTTTGAAACAATCTAATTTCCTGAGCACTGGCATCCAAATCAGCAAATCGCTTCCGAAATTGTTCTTTCAAATCTGAAATGACTAAATTTGCAAACGAGGAAGGGAATTCTGCTTCACCCTTTTTATGCAACTCTGCACAGAATAGCATATGAACAAAGTTACAATTTTTCACTTGGCTTTCCAGAAGTATCAACTTTGCTCTGAATGCCTTGATAAGTGCAAATAAATCACAGACTAAGTTATTTTCACCCTGCAACTTTAAATTCAAATGGTTCATATGGTTCACCAGATCAGCAAAAACTGCTAATTTCCAAAGCCACTCGGTATCTGATAAAAGTGGTTCGTGATGATTTTTCTCGGTAAGAAATATATCAATTTCATTTCTGAGCTGAAAGAAGCACGAAATAACCTTTCCACAACTAAACCATCGAACTGCAGTATAATATGTCAGGTCAGTAAGCTCGGAATCACATTCCTCGAGAAAAGACCGAAACTGGCGACGGTTTAAGTGCATGACAGCGATTGAAATTGGCGTTAGAAATAACAGGTTTTAAAACAGAGCTCATATCAAGGTGTTTTGCAAAGAGTGCTTGTTGGTAGATAACACAGTGAAGAAACATTGGCTTTGATATTCCTGCATTCTCACAAGCTTTTGTGATTTCGCCAACCAAACATATTTTTATACCAGACATGATTATTCCTCCATCAACTGTCACGCACTGCAGACGGTTCCAGTCCAAATTATATTCTGTTAGTGTTTTTTGTATTTCTTTGAAGATATCTCCTGTTGTAGTGCCATGCATGCTGTGAAGTGACGCTAATTCCCGTGTGACATTAAGTTCATCGTCGACGCCACGAAAAAATACTAATAGTTGAGAGATGTTACAAACATCAGTTGAAATCTATGAACAAGTATTTTTTTACCAGTACTCATTGGAAAATTAGTTCAATTGGCGCATTTCTGCACAGTTCTTTCGCGGGCCGGATAAAATCACATCTCGGGCCATAGTTTGGAGACCCTTAGTCAGATAATGTGGAACCCTCAACGTCTCACAACCCTATGGGCCTTCAAGGGCTGATACAAGGATAGCTTTACTTTTTTTTTTTGCTTACTTTCACATATTCATTAAATGAAGGCCAATTTAAAATACTAGTATAATTTTGTTACAATTTAATTGACCTTCAATTGTGGTTGTTTCTATAATAATTGTTATAATATAATTGTATAAATAATTGTTTTATTACAAAATTCTTTTCATGTGCGACATTAAATTTGTATTTATTGGTATACGCCTATACTTATAGGTCAATATATTATAAATATAATAAAGTTACGAAAAATTATACCAAATTTCCTACTCGACAAACAAGAGACTCACTAGCAATCCAAAACCAATAAATAATTGACGGTGACCTTTCAGTGTGTTGTTTCAAATTAATGATAATGTCTTTTAGCTTTGATAGTAGGAAGAATTTCTACATATTATTTTGGAAATGTCAATTATTTAACTAAATATCGAAGCATATTTCTGAAGGTACAGATATTTAATGCATACAAAAATATGTAATACGAATATATTGTTCTGGAGAACACGCCTCCGTTCTATCTTGAAACTCTGAAGAATTGGTAGCTACATGATTATGCATTTCAACTCACCAACACACAAAATCTTTTCACTACGGACGAGGGTCTACCCTGTTCTTCAAGTCTGCAATGCAACTCGTCCTGCAAGTACATTATTATGTACCTTCGTTAAAGAGATATATACATAGCGGACAATAATTATGAAAGATTACTTCGTAAAACATAGTCTCTTTAACATACACATATGCATTTTATCAAGTTTATCCCACACGAACAAGGACCTGTTTTCGAACGTTTGGAAAATCCCTGTCTCAACAAATACAACACCAAAACAATCTTCACAGACACAGCCGATACTAATGCGCATGCGTCCTTTCCTTATCTTGTTTTGTTTTCAAAATTATTTTTATAACCACAACTGAACTTCTTCCTGCATGAGGGGGATAAGTAGCATGTGAAGGTTTTACCATTGCTCTTCGCTTTCTTTTTTTTACAGTTGCAGTCAACAAGCAAACCGCCACATCAGTCATCAACTATCCTCTCGCTCTCAGTCGGTATTAAAGCTCTCTGTATTGCTCTGTATTCCGTTTTACTGGTATACTATATGACGCTTTCGGTATATCAGCATATATATCTTCGAATATTATGATGACAGGTGAATTATTAATTGGAAAAGAATTTTAATTTAAGTTCTATCCATGTTTTTGCCTGGAGTGACTGGGAAAACCAAAAAAAAATAGTCTGTGTCCTTGACGAGTTTCGAACGAAAAATCTCTGAGTACAAGTCCAAAGGGTAACTGCTAGGGCAGTGAGTTCGGTGAATGTAGACGGGTTCTTTTTATGTTGCTGATAATTTCGTAATGATTTAGCACACCGCCATGTTGACTAAAGCATTAATGTAGAGTTGTCTAACTTATTTCCATGAACGCATGGATTAGATATTTTGTTATGACGAGTGGAAATTTGTCTGGGCATTGAAACTTTCCGCATATTTTGTACTTTAATGTAGAACTTCCACGATTTATAAGCCTCATATACGTGTATATTGCTACTTTGCTGCACGGAAATTTATTTAAATTAACATTTATAGTTTACAACTTCAGTTTTCGAGAATACACCTTGCGCAGTTCTGAAGATTTACCAACGTTTCGACTAATAGTATTACAATTTCCATTTTCAGGATTAATGTGCTTGGTGGATTAAGACCTTATATAGACCTTCCAGTGAGTGGTGTTTGGAGGGTGAGGCGATGGTTGGACGAAAGGAGCAAAGTGAATTTTACTCTCAGATCTATATAAAGGTTTCCGCCGCCTCCAAAAGACATTAATCCTGAAGATGGAAACTGCAGTGTCTACCGAAACGCTGGATATCGTTCAACATTCGAAGTGACTTATTCCTGATAGCAGAAGTCGTACAATAAAAAATTCGCTTAGTGGGGGGTGGAATCCAGCTGGGTTCACTCGGTACAGCGGCCACTGAGTGGCCTATTGTATAGCCTGCCCCTGGTAATTATGATGATGGAGAATTTGGTGCAATGGAGATTGGCAGGGGAAACCGAAGTACTCGGAGAGAACCCACCCCAGAGCCACTTTGTCCACCACAAATCCCACTTGACCAGACCCGGGATCGAACACGGGCCACCGCGGTGGGAAATCAGCGAATAACCGCTTGAGCTTGGCGCGGCAATTCGTACGGTAATTCCAGACGCCTGGACTTCCGGACAAAAACATGTATATAGAACATATAATCGCAAAAATATCAGCATTTCATATGCTATTTCCTTGTAGTATTTGAAATGTTGGTTTCATTTACAGATTTTGTGGCCATAATATTTAATTTTATGCGCTCAAATGGGTTTATTATAATATTACTGTAATCGTGTTAAAACATTAATTATTCGAGTGGGGCTATCAGATTAATGAAATGCATATTATTTCAAAATATTGTACATTATTAACAGTATAATGTAAGCGTAAGTGACACTCTCTGTAGAGAACTTTGAATTAAAATTGTAATCTGCACACTTGAGTTAAAGACTATATACAGAAAGCAATAATATGAACTCTGAGCTTATGAACTGTTATCTTGTTTCCGCTTGGACAGAATTATTGGTTTTGTTACAGTAATCTCCACGCAGCTGGGCACCAGGTGTGATTCTGTGTGTTGTATCATATATTACTCTTACCTTCTAGCCCTATTTACCTTCCCAGTAAAATAAATTTGCACAGCATTTAAACATGGAAATACGAGGCGAGACTGTGAATTCTCAACGGAGTACGTTTTAACACGTTGACCACATAAATATACATACACAGACACACACAAACATGTACATGAATAGAGCTACCGGTGGTGTATTCCGCGGTTCGAGTCCCGGCGGATGTGTTTTCGCAGGTGGATCTACGCCACATGGATGAGAAGGCGGGTTCAAACGTCGTGGAAGTAGGTGTGGACCTGTCCGAGTTCTACATGTCCGTCGAATGGGACATCCTGGAGGTGCCTGCAGTCAGGTAACATAGCTATTTTGCCTCTTCACACACTATACAAGGGATGCTATTGCAGTGCGATCTAGTGGACATTTCTCGCACTAGTACTAGGAGCCTCTACATTCAGTCACACCAACAGTACAAGATGAAGTAAACACCGTGAAGCTGAGAGATGAGTTCATATTTTAGTTTATATCTTTCGCAAAGTCCAAAACCACGGTAATCCTGACCTTTTATTCTCCTGAAATTTTGTTTTCAAAATATTGAGAACTTTCTTTCCTTTTATCCTCGGTAGTTAATATTTAATATACTGTATAATGAGATCGTTTGACCGCCTCTGTTGTCTAGTTGTCAGAGTTCATGCCTACACATCCAGAGGTCCCGGGTTCGATTCCCGGAACTACCAGATTTTCTGAGAAGTAGTGGGTCTGGAACGGGGTCCACTCAGCCTCGTGAGGATAATTGAGGAGATATTTCAAGGAAGTAGTGGATTCGGTCTAGAAAACCGAGATTAACGGCAATGGGGTATCCGTTTCGCTGACCACGCGTCACACTGTATCCGCTAGAGTTGGCAATAACTTCGTCGACAAGTGGCAGTCGCTCGGTCGGTGTAGTTCGCTTGCGGACAAAAGTACAATTTTTTTTTATAATGCAATCATCTGAGAATTTTCCGCATATCATTGAGTCACGTGGGTCCTACTCCTCCGCTTGGGAGGCTGAAAATATTTTGGGAAGTCCTCGGACGATCGCACTGCATATAGGCCTTCAGAACAGAGGGTAAAACAACATTTTTCTTTTCATAATTTGGTAGTACTGTGGGGAAATTGATTGTATTTTGCCGGTCTGACTCAAGAGCGTGATTTTGCACCACTCCCAAAATATTATCACAGAATTGAATCCCACGCGAAGCATATTTCTCTGTGTTGTGTTGTGTTGTGTTGTGTTGTGTTGTTTAGGACTTGCAGTGGTTCGACCCCACGTCTAGGCTAAACATCGAAGGAATAAACGTCTTTGCAAATTACATACAAATGCCGTATGTGTACTGCTTTCTTTCCTTCCATCCTACAGTATAAATGGGGACCCAAAAAATGTATACACTTCAACGTACAAAATACAGTGCGTTCAGTTAAGGAGGAAACTTCGCAACACCGCTGACCTGGCCCAACATTCCTCACAGATTGCTGCTGTGACTGCTGATAGCAGAATTAGTCATTAGCGCTGATAAACGCGCGCCGTTACAGTTACAGCAGCAATCTGTGAGGAATGTTGGGCCCGGTCAGCGGTGTTGCGAAGTTTCCTCCTTGATTGAACACTCTGTATCTGCTTAAATAATTTATTGATAATTTGATACACACAGAAATAGATGGCTGCGACGCATGCTGAAGTAGTAGAACAAGTGTTTAAAACGTCCACCGTCAGCTTGTAGACGCTTGTGAGTTCGAAGGACAATTGCACGAGCAATATAATTTGGGCCCCTCTGTATATTCGCGTGTGTGTGTCACCAAAACTTGCTGTTGAGAAGTAATGACTCCTATCCCGTATACGGGAGACTACATGCTAGATTCTCGACCCTGACGAAGGCAACATTCACTGAGTCACTTTCCAAATTTTCTACAGTCTCCCCAAGTTAATTCCCTTAAAAAAAATTAAAATATGCCAAGGCTGATTACAAGTTTATCACTATCAAACCATCTTTCCTTTCGAAAAAAAAAAGAAGGGAATAAAAATTAACTTGCAATTAACTTGTATTATATTATAGATTTGAATGTATAGCCCCGGTCACAGCAAATGTAACAACTGAATCTAAATGTCTGAATAATTAGTTTCCTTGTGTCTGTTTCTCCTTAACGTCTTTAACTATTCACATTCCTGTCAAAACAAGAATGCATAAAAATATTTTGCGACTTTTGTCGTGTTTCGGCACACATTTGAACATATAAAACTGTGGAATTGGTGTGATGCAGTTACAGTAGACAATACCTACACAACCTAGCAAATTTTCTGTGGCTGCTTTCTTTAAAAAAAAACCGTCTCCCCAACTACACCTTTAATATACATGGGCCCATTTTTTATTCGTAACTTGTGCTTCATAGATCTGATCATCTGTATCATTACCTTGGTAAATGTTGTTACTGTGGAACTCATGTTCACAAGAGCCCTTCACTGGTCCCTATCCTGAGCCAGATAATTCCAATCCATACCATCCCATCCTATCTCTCTAAGATCCATTTTAATGTTGTCCACCCGCCTACGCCTTGATCTTCCTAGTGGCCTCTTTCCTTCTGGCTTTCCCACCAATATACTATATGTATTCCTCTTCTTCGTCATTCGTGCTACATGCCCTGCCCACCTCATTCTCCTTGACTTGATCATTCTAATTATACTTGGAGAAGAGTACAGCTTATGAAGCTCCTCATTATGCAGTTTTCTCCAACCTCCTGTCACTTCATCCCTCTTAGGTCCAAATATTCTCCTCAACAATCTGTTCTCAAACGCTCTCAGTCTATGTTCCTTCATTGAAGTCAGGGACCAAGATTCACACCCATACAGAACCACAGGCAAAATTATAGTTTTGTATATTCTAATTTTTATATTTTTGGACAGCAGTATCAGAATAAGATGTAAATATATATTCCAGTATTAATAAGAAACAATGTTAAGCCAGAAATGACGCAACATACGGGCTTCCCATATAGTACCAGTACTATTGTCACTTTTTTTCTATTTCCCTTAGTGGGGGTGGAGTCCAACTGGGTCCACTCGGCAGGGCGGCCACTGGTTGGCCTATTGTACCTGTCCTGGGTGATTATGATGATGGAGAACTTGGTGGAATGAAGATTGGCAGGGGAAACCGAAGTACTCGGAGAAAACATACCCCATTTTGTCCACCACAAATCCCATTTGGCCAGATCCGAGATCGAACCCGGGCCGCTGCGGTGGGAAACCAGTGACTAACCGCTTGAGCTATGGCACTATTGCGTTTATGCAGTGTCCAGTTATATAAGGAACACTGCAGATGCATTGATTTCTAAATGGAGTTTGAGAGACTCATTTTCTCTAAGATAAATCTGAGTGCTTGGAAGGATTCTACCGAAACTACTTCTTTTCTTATTTGATTTTGTCAGAGTACTTAGCTTCTTCTTCCCTTTATACTTCCAGGTCTCTCTTCCCTTTGTTCATCAGTTCTTTTTCAGTTTTACTTAACTTCATATATTTCCTTTTATCTTGCATAAGTACTTTTATCTTCTTCGTTCTACTCAGTGCTTCTTATTGAGACATACCTTTCGTATTTTAACTTTCGTCTGTACTTTTCTTTGTTCTTAAATTTTTTCTTGTATTTCTTCCATTCCCTTTTCCCCTACCTTCAACTTCTCTCATTATTCATTTTCTTTCATTCTCATACCTTTTGAGCCTATTTAAGTCTGCCTCTACTTCATTTCGTTGTGCACAAATTCGAGTTAAATTTGATATTTGCTTGTCCGCCAAGAATATTTCTACATCACTTAAAGTCCTGAAGGATTTTGTCATCAGTGACTTATGAGAAGCCTGAAATGAAAATTGCACTGTGCTCTGTAGACTAAACTTCGAATGTCTGTGAACATCATATTGATCAGTCTGTATTCAGAAGTCCATAGCTCCACGAATATCTTAGAGTATTGAAGAATTCAACAGTTTACAATGTCGTGGCTTCGCTCATGTGTGCGAAATTTATTTCCAGTTGTTAGCAACATATACAGAGCAGCACAGCTTTGCAACTAACTGGGTCTGTTTTAATATTATATTGCCACCAAATGCCCTAAAATCTCTCAAATTCTACATAAATATAAATTTAACTCTAGATTATAATTTCAATTCCTGTTTGTGAATACCTGATCAGTGATCCAGTGGAGTATCACTTACTCACTCACTCACTCATGGAACTAAGCCCCTCTTGAGAAGCCACCAATTATGCTGTTACTCAAGAACTTCCCAACATTTTATGGAACCCGAAGGTTCAGTACCGTGTTCACAAGAGCCCTCCACTGGTCCCTATCCTGAGCCAGATCAATCCAGTCCATACCATCTCATCCTATCTCTCTAAGATCCATTTCAATATTGTCCACTCACCTACACCTTGGTCTTTCCAGTGGTCTCTTTCCTTCTAGCTTCCCCACCAATATCCTATAAGCATTCCTCTTCCCCCATTCGTGCTACATGCCCTGCCCACCTCATCCTCCTTGACTTGATCATTCTAATTATACTTGGAGAAGAGTACAAGTTATGAAGCTCCTCGTTATTTCCAGCGGAGTATACAGGCTGCAATGTTTACCTTGCAGAAACGAGAAATTCTATACGTGCTGCGACGAACCGTACCTGGATATCACGTTCAACATCACGATGCGCCGCAAGACTCTCTTCTACACCGTGAACATCATCATCCCCTGCATGGGCATCTCCTTTCTCACTGTACTCACCTTCTATCTGCCGTCGGACAGCGGCGAGAAGGTGAGTTCACACCTCGCTGCTCTGACACCGCAGCGACGCGTTCAGAACATGGCCGACCAGAAGAGGAGAAGCCAACGTCACGTGCAGTACCTGGAGTTGTAGAGCTCTCGCTCCTTAACTGAAAGGTCCTGGATTTCAGTGTCTCAATGGATACCAGATTTTCGTAGTTTTCCTCAATACCTCTAGCCACATATTGGAATATTATCTAAAATACGCTGTGCCTCCTTGTTCACAATTCTCAAATAATTTGTAGCCGCTCCAGCATTCGCCGTTACAAAAACTATGCAGTTCGTAAATGGAATGCAAACTGTGTTAACATCGAAGGTCAGTTTCTTATCCAAACGGCAAACCTAGGCAAGATATTAGGGTAGGGTCGCGCCATAACTCAAGCGGTTAGCCGTTGGCTTCCCACTGCGGCGGTCCGGGTTCGATCCCTGGTCTTGTCAAGTGGGATTTCTGGTGGACAAAGTGGCGCTACGGCGGGTTTTCTCCGAATGCTTCGGTTTCCCCTGTCAATCTTCATTCCACCAAATTCTCCATCATCATAATCACCAGGGGCAGGCTACAATAGGCCAATCAGTGGCCACCTTGCCGAGTGAACCCAGTTGGACTCCACCCCCCACTAAGAGAATTAAAAGGAAAAAAAAGATATTAGGGTAAATTAACAGCAATTACATTGTTCTGAATTACGACCAGAAATATTTTAATCTGAGCCGTGCAAATTCCGGTCCTCTGACAACTTCCTTCGAGGTTTTCGAAAGTATTTAATATATTCTGTAAGTCTAAAATTCTGGATTTTGTGAAAGGCTAAATGTCTTTATATTAAACGAGAATATACCCTCAGCACTTGAACTCAGTGTCTCGTTCGAACTCTTTGTTCTGAACTGAAACTATAGTAGAAGGTCGATAGCCTTCGAAGCTATGGAAAAGAAACTTTAATACCTTTCTCTCAGTCGTGAAAAGATTCCTAACATCACATTTTCCTTTGTGGGTGGGATCGACGGGACGTGTTTGCCCATGCCCATGCCAATGGTAGAACTGAGAAGGAGAAAGTTGTGAAAGTGACGGGATAGCGCTTTCCCTGGCGTCCGATACGATAACAACACCCGTTGTTGCCTAGTGCAGAACAATTTCCTCTACTGAGATGTTATGTTCTCATGGTGGTGACTTTGAAGAGTGGTGTCTTCTGGGATATGAACCCTTGTAGCATGTTAGAAATTTACTGACGTAATGGAGTAACCTACTGTTTCCATTTTCAGGTTCGGAGAGCGAACCTTTAGAGCAAACTGCAAGTAAAGTAATCCAGTTTTACCTACCACATTTTTCCAAGCTTTTTATACTCCGCTGGACCGCCTCTGTGGTCTAGTGGTCAGAGTTCCTGGTTACACACCTAGATGTCTCGGGTTCGGTTCCCGGCTCTATCAGATTTTCTGTGGAGTAGTGGAACGGGGTCCACTCAGCCACGTGAGGATAATTGAGGTGCTGTTTCAAGGAAATAGCGACTCCGGTCTAGAAAACCGAAATTAACGGCCATGGGGATTCGTTGCGCTGACCACGCGACATCCTTTATCCGCAAAAGTTGGCATTAAATTAGCCGATAAGCGGCGGTCGCTCGGTCGGTATAGTTCGCTTGCGGACTAAAGCCGCGGAGTTTTTACACTCTTCCAAAACTTCTGTAAACTTACACTAGATTGCACGGTGTCACATCTCCTCTGTTCATGATGCATATACACGTATGTGTGTTTGCGTGGGTGTGGGTGTCGAGTGTAAAGACGCTTCTCTGCGGCTTTTTAGACCTATTTCTTATCATTATAATTGGCAAGTCAGCTCTTTTTGTGCCACAGTTTTCCTTAGAAGATTCGGTCAAACTGCATCCAGTTTTCACGTTTTCGGATTTCGCAACTATAATTTTTTTTTTACAGAACAAGGTTGTCAGCCTTGAGTCCAGTCCCCAACTTTGAGAATCAGGTCCCTATATTTATGTCCCTTAGTGACAGGGTTATACCAGTTATACCCCCAAGCATCGAGTTCTCTTTGTGTCGTCCTGCACAAGGTGTAGCTACTTGTTACACTGAGTACAGTGAAGCTATAAGCGAGCCACAATTCAGGCTCTTGTGTCTGAGTGTTTGATCGGAGAATCTCACGCTGAGTGAACTGGGAACTGAGGGAGATTTGTCTGAACACGCCCATACACCGGTCGGCCCCGCAGGCCACAGCCCTGGTGTTTAGCGCTGCTTGGTAATTTACCGGCATTGACCAACTTTGACACGCCAATTGCATTACATCGCACCCAGCAGTAGATAATGCCAAGAGATTTGCCCGAATTTCAGATTTCTGTAGCCCGCATTTCAACGTAAATGTCCTGATTTGCGGCCTCAGTAGGTCGACAAAGAAACTGTTCATTTAAAATTTGAAAAGTTCATTGTCTATTCCTCTTTGCTTAACACATAAATTTCTTCTCAGTATCACTCAAAATCGTTACCTTGGTATATAAATACTACTTAATAAATTCATTGGAGTCCGTCTCGTGAAGCTGTTAGTCGCTCAGCGTGTGAAAATCAATGTGTAGTATTTGAAGTTCTCACAGTGGCGGTTATTAAGAACCTTATGTTTTGGATATAACGCTGTACAGTCCAGTGAAAGCTAACCTATGTTTCGGAGGAATATTTCGCCTTAGTCTTCAGTGTGGAAGAGAAAATACACAAGAAACCAGTATGAAGCTGTCATTTTCACCGGAATACATGGTGTTATATCCCTGATTTTAAAATTATTTTAAAAAAACCCGGTTCTTTTCACAAACCGAAAGTTTATGTGCGTGTTTAGAGCAGCCTGTCACATTTGTCACCCTTAAACCGGCTCAATTCATTCAACAATCTCGTGCCCTATTTCTTTGAGATAAAGTTTAATTTTACTGCATCAGCTATCCTCAGGCAGCCAGTACACTCTCATCTCTGTCCTGGTGTTTCAAGTAAAATGTTCATATATTAAAAAAAACTATCCCTGTAACAAGCCGTGGAGGCCGAAGGGGTTGTGAGACGTCGAGGCTTGCACATTTTCTAGACAATCGACTCACAGATGGGGTTGAGGTTGTCAGCCTCAGGCGCCGGCCGTCTTTTATACCCCAGGAAGATTCCTGGTACTCATTTCTGTTAGAGGCTGAGTTCATCCTAGGGCCATAGTGCGGCTGGAAGAATTAGGTCAACTGAAAAATCTAATGTTTATATATAAACACACGAGTATATATACAGAGTATGTGTCAGTTTCTTCATGCGTGTTTCTAAAACTAAAAAGCTAAACTCCGTGGCTTGAATCCGTAAGATAACCATACCGACCGAGAGACCGCCGCTCTTATCCGCGAAGTTAGTGCCAACTTTTCCGAATAGAGGGTGTCACGTGGTCAGTGCAACGGATCCCCACGGCAGTTAATCTCGGTTTTCTACACCGAAGCCGCTATTTCCTTGAAATAGCTCATCAATTATCCTCACGAGGCTGAGTGAACCCAGTTCCAGACCCACTACTTCTCAAAAAATCTGGTAGCGCCGGGAACCGAACCCGAGACCTTTGGATCTGTAGCAAGAAACTCTGAACACTAGACCACCGCGGCGGTCCAATATATTATAAAGAATATTTAATAATATACACTACAAAATATTTATTTCCATGAATCACTATTTGTCAAAATTGAATCGCAGATTATTTAATGAGATATTTTGAAAATTAACATGAACCCCATAAACAAACTAGCAACACAGTCTAAGAACCGTTAAATCCAACATATATACATTTAACGCACCGTAACTCCTTGATCTCACTATCATAACAATTTATTTTTTATTGCTAGTGGGGTGGGACTAAGTCCCTTGTACTGAGGCCACTTCTGGCCTATTGTACCAGCCCCAGATGATAGGTGAGGGTGATTGTGGAGCAATTGGTGGAATGAAGATGGGCACGGGAAACTGAAGTACTCGGAGAGAACCCGCCCCATCGCCACTTTGTCCACCACAAATCCCACTTGACCAGACCCGGGATCGAACCCGGGCCGGGAAGCCAGCGACTAACCGCTTGAGCTATGGCGCGGCCCTAACTACCCTATAATTAATAGATGAGCTGTATGAATTACTCGCCTCTTATTTGACTTATAATTAAGTTACGTATAGAAGACCCTGCCTTTGAATAAATTCCAGGAATTTCCGAGCGAGAGCCTTTGAATGCGTCGAACGCTACCGCACTAGCGATACGACGCTGACGTCCGCTTTTTGTGTTCTCTACCCCAATTCCCCAGTTCGTCCATCTTGTCATTCTCTCCCTTTTTTTTTAGGATCGAGATTTCAGGAGGGGCGCGAATCTCCTCTAGCAGATACAAGTTTTATTTGTCCACAGGTGACGCTGTCGATATCAATCCTCATCAGTCTTCACGTGTTTTTTCTGCTGGTTGTGGAAATCATCCCACCCACATCGCTTGTGGTACCATTACTCGGAAAGTACCTCATCTTCGCCATGATCCTCGTCTCCATCAGGTACGGCAAAATGGCGTCCATACACACTCCTCTTATACTCTCTACAAAGTGTAGCAAAGTTACAGAAACGGTGCAAACAGTAGAGCAGTAAATTGTTGCTGGTCCTCGTCAGCAAAATCTTCTTGTTTTCGGGATCCGTCAGGACCAGTGACAAAATTTTTCTTCGTTCCATGATAATTTATGTATTTGGGAATGGGTGTAGATTTTTTAGAAAGCGCCATATTTGTTTTCCCAGAATTCAGCGTGAGTGTAGCCGCACTTACACGGGCGTCTATGTAAGGGCATTTATACTATGTGGACACCGTACACGATTTGTCACTTTATTGTAATAAGTAATATTTATGTGAGATATAACGAGAACCTCTGTCAATACATCAGAGTCAGAGTCAGAGTCAGAGTCAGAGTCAGAGTCAGTGTCAGAGTTACTTAACGAATGGCGGTTTACAGCCAATCACTTTGTCTTGGCGACAAGCCACAATCAGTAATTTTTTTCTGACGAAATGAACACTTGCGGTTATAGTCCTTATGTGACATCCTTTCTGAAGAGAGGATGAGTCTGTCTTTTACAATTGCTGCTGGTCCTCGCCAGGGCAGTCATTCTCAGGTCCAAGTCTTGCGGGTATCATGACCACATTTTACTGTCCCAAACTGGAGACTCCCCCAACATGGAGGTTACCTCCTATGACTCGCAGGGAAACGGTGAAGACATTTGATCCCACCTCCACACGGGTTACACTGATCATGCACATACTTTCATATATATATATATACTGATCCTGACTACGTTGCCTTGGAACGGGAATTAGTTATTATTCGGTAGGTTATTATTAATTATGAAATGCCGAACAACAATGAACTCCGTAGGACCGGTAAATCCAGTTTCGAGAATATCGAAATTTCGCGTTTGGGTCCTTAGTTTGCGTACTGTTATCGTCATGAAAAATAGCAGTTCTCGCCCAGTAATTTATTTTACTACAAACACAATCATCCTAACATGATATCTGAGTCCAAATAATATCTGTGTTTGGTACTTAGTAAATTATTTGCCTACGGAATTGAATGAATCTACATTTGACATGGGACAGCCAACAGTTATTGTTGAATTAAGTAAGAGTGTGAAAGATAAACGGTAAAGCTATCAATGAAACAGGCCGTGGAGGCCCATAGGGATGTGAGATATCGAAGCTAAAATATTTTCACACAGAGATATTGGGTCCTAGTTGGGTCCCTTAGAAAGAGCTAGCCTCAATCACTGGACCAATGATTGAGGCTAGCTCTTTCTAAGGGACCCAACAGAATATGTGTTTACCCTCACCTGAGGACGGAAATAGATCCATTTTCCGAAACGTCGTGTTTTTCTTAGTTATCTTAAAAACTAGGACGATGGATAAAGTCCGAAAACCCAGTATGTCTGTGTGTTATACACCATCGTCAGAATCCTATAGTAACTACTCCCATATTTTCCAGATATTCGGCTCACAGATGGCGGTGAGGTTGTCAACCTTACGCGCCGACCGCCCTTTTATCCCTCAGGAAGATTCCTAGTGCTCATTTCTGTTAGAGGCTGAGTCGACCCCAGGGTTATAGCGCGGCTGGAAGGATTATGTCAATTGAAAAATCCAATGACCTCATTGGGAATCGAACCCGCGACCTACCGGCTTGTAGCATAGGGAAAATGGGAGTGTAAAGCAAACAAATACGAGGTATAGTCCCTTCCGGGTGCGGTGCACCATACCCATTCGTTACATAAACGACTTACTCGACTTCGTCGTTATGGAATCGTGTTTTCTTAGTGTCTGATTTCGTTATAAGCGCAGTTGGCTCTAATTCTGTACTGATTGATGTGCGCCCCCGCTCCTAATATATCATTCTTTCTTGTGAACGCGACTCGCTTTATTCCCAAAGGAAAGATTAATGACATTTCTGTGATAATCTTGCAGCATCGCCATCAATTACATACAAACAGATGTAATGACATGGGAAACAAGAAAACATCTCAGTTACACGTGATGACATGTAAGAGTTGCACGCTTTATAATATGAATATGTGAAGTCTCAAAATATTGCTGATTAGACATATTACCTACGAGTGTAAAACTGAATTTCGCATCAATACTAAGGCTTTAGCGAGTAATGTTACTACACAACACATCAATTACTCACTCATGGAGCTGAGCCCTTCTTGAGAAGCCTGCAATTCTGCAGCTACTGAAGTATTTCCCAGCATTTTATGGAACCCGAAGGTTCATTGCCGTGTTCACAAGAGCCCTCTACTGGTCCATATCCTGAGCCAGATCAATCCAATCCATACCATCCCATAATATCTCTCTAAGTTCCATTTTAATATTGTCCACCCACTTACGCCTTACGTACTACACACTAACATTTGAAAATAATACATATATATGTGTCAATTGTTTAATATAGACCAAGTTTCAAAGTCGCATTTTCATGCGACGTTACACCGGAACAATAAAGCAAATATTATTTTAACGCAGTCTGAAATAAATACATTTCATTTCGTTTTCTTTTCTATTTGATTTTATCTCCTAAAAAGATGCCATGATCGGTGGTTCAGTATATTTCTGAAACGTCACTTTGGTTACTTATCTCGAAAATTATAAGACTTGCGAAGAAAGGGAGGGATTATGCTCGTACTGGACAGAGAACGTGTTTCATTTTTCTAAAACTTTTGTTAGAAACATTTATCTTCAACAAATATTCAGCGAGATGGGGCCAAAAAAGTTCACTTAGGCCAACTTTTGTCAATTTTTTTTTTCAGTTCTCTGAAATTTTTCGTAAAATTTTCAAGTTGTCAAGTTTCAAGAAAACCTGTCGAACGATTCTCGAGCTGTTCATGCGGACGGTTGGACGTACTGAGCGAACAACAAAAAGCAACAAAACTAAAAAATAATTTCTTACCAATACAGCGCCAACACTGGTAAATCCAATATTATATTTAAGCATCCTGTTACACTTTACACGATATATGACATAAACTCCGTCCTAAGTGCAACAATTTATTATAGTCCTTCGTCTTGCTTTCTTCTACACTACATGTTTCGGCCACAAACGGCCATCATCAGGTGTGTACTCTCACGTAGCTGCTACACTGCACGTAGTTTAAAATTTAAAAAACACTAGTCTTCCCAATTGTTCATTTCGCCGTTGCTAACAGGTTTCGATATATCAGAATCTTCCCCGCTGATATGTCAGATATGTACAAAATCTTTTAACCTACACACGTCAATTTGATTTTCATAAACTGGCACTTTTAAAATCTTCAATTCCAATTTTAAAAATTTCTTTAAAATTTTTTTCTTCAAATTGTAAAATTTAAAATTCTCAGGTTTACTCGCCCTATGTCTATAGTGCTGCAGCGGCTACTTCTTGTTTTCAGCACTTTTATTAATATTGCAGTTCAGTTGTGTATATATGTTAGCCATGTATTTGCCTGATGATGGCTTTTAATAGCCGAAACATGTAGCAGAGCCAAAACCAGGCACTGACCTTGATATAGTTGTGTTGTGACGGCTTTAATAAAGAAGTTTTCATAGTGCTGAACTCCTTCAAGAACAGCGATCGTCAATAGCTACGTCATATGATGTTGCAGCATATGTGTTACGGTGGTGGTACTCAACGTACACTTCAGGTCACCACAAACCCACAAGATGGCGCCTTGGGTGAAGAGAGTTTTCATACACATTCTACCAAGACTGCTGGTCATGCGGCGTCCTCAGAACCAATTCGAACCTCACAGGTAAATTGAACCTGCCTATATAATCGTGAATTCAGAATCTGCAATGTGTTTTCTAGACAGCAAAACCATGAAATGAACTTAGGTGCCATGGGACGGTGCTGAAGCCGCATTCAAACTCACTGCAAATTGCGTCTGGGATTTGTTGAAATCATTCTGAGTGAGAATAAAGCCAATAGCAAACATAATCTGATATTATATATATCCGGAGATGTGATTATTAACTAACTCCATGAAGAATATTCCTTCTTTAGAAGCTGATAGAATCTCAGTTAGTGAAGAAATTTCTGAAAGTCCATTGCTGTGCTCACAAGAACTCGTCAATGGAAACTACCCGGAGGCTGTTGATTCCAATTTACATATCATATCCCATTTAGAAAGAATCGTTTTAAAGTTGTACTCCCATCTATGACTAGATATTACTGTATCGTTTCCTTATAAAGCTTCTAACAAAATTCATCCTCTCCTCATATATTCAACATGTGCTGAGTACACCTCATCTTCCTTGATATTAGTCACCCTCATTATACAGAGTTATTCATAAGTCCGTGAAACATTTTAAAAATTCACAACAAATAAACTATGCGTCGGATTGTGGTAATTCTTACGCCAACAGAGAATGAATCTCTCCAAGTCTTTTTGAAAGCCGCCATTGCCTGCTAATCTCAGGGATCTTCGCAACCGCATCACCGCTGCCTGGGCTCTGACCAACCGTGATATGCTGACACGGGTGTGGGACGAAATGGAGTATCGCAAAGATCAGTGTTCCGCAACCGGTGTGCCCTCACAAGGTGAAAGGTGTGACGCGAACTTTTACCTATTGTAAGAAATTAATTGTCGAATTTAATTAGTTTTATTTTATCCCAGTTACGGTGTTTCATATGCTTGTATTTTATTCTCAGCCACTGCACTGATTAAGTAAGATAATGCTTGTTTATTCTTTATTACATGCCGTGATTTTTTATGTACAGTAATGTTGTATTCTAAGAAATTAAACGTAAATTATTTACTCTCAGTTGCTGCTATATCATAGTTCTCATTATTGATTTATTTTTATTTTCTCGCATCTATGCGGCTTCTTTGATAAACTTGCCGTATGTTCTGTGTACGAGCTTTTCCCTAAAACTGCAGGGATTAGCAAGGGTTTCCCTGTCTTTTATAACGCTATTTTGCTTATCACGAGGAAAAGTGTTAACGCAAATATTTGAACTTAATGAGAAGTACGTGCATTTTTGACTGTTGAGGGGCGTGAGTACGCGGATTTATTTGCAGATGATGAATGGATATGTAAGTTGGCATATCTTTCCGATATTTTCATACACTTGAATGAGCTGAACAGAAAAATGCAAGGTAGGAACTAAAATAAACTAACTAATATGGATAAGTTACAAGGATTTGTAAATAGCTGAATTTGTGGCTATAGAGAATTACAGATGGGTCGTTTGAGATGTTCCCGACTGTGTGGTCACTTGCTGGCGGCAATAAAATGGTGATGGACACAAAGAACATTTAGAAATGCTGCAGCAGAAATTCAATAAGTATTTTGGAGAGAGTGTACAAGATTTCGACTGGNAGAATTACTGTATTTACTTTAATAGTAATAGAAGTGTATTTTCTACACTCTACAGTGAATTAAGTTCATTAATTGTTAATAAAAGCAGGAGTCGATTTCTGTTTATTAATAATAAAATAATAATATTATAGTAATAAGTTCATCACCTTACGTAATTATATTAATTGTCTGATACCATTTTTTTTGAGGGGAATAACATTTTGGTGTGTCGTGTTGAGTCATGGATACTTCATGGTGTGCCGCGAGTAGAAAAGGGTTGCGGAACAATGGCATAGATGTCTGCCGTATCAGCAAAGGTGGACACATTGAGCATTTGTGAACTATATAAAAAAACTTCGTGAGTTTATCTCTATTTCGGTGTAATAAAATTTGGTATCCGTTCCATAGTTTATTTATTGTAACTTTTCAAAATGTTTCACGGACTTATGAGTAACTATTTATTTTGACAGGAGGTTGGAGAAAACTGCATAACGGGAAGCTTCATAACCTGTGTCCTCCGGGTATAATTAGAATGATTAAGTCAAGGAGGATGAGATGGGCAGGGCATGTAGCACGAATGGGGGAGGAGAGGAATGCGTATAGGATATCTGTGGGAAAGACAGAAGAAAAGAGACCACTGGGAAGATGAAAGCGTAGGTGGGTGGACAATATTAAAATGGATCTTAGAAATATAGAATGGGATGGTATGGATTGGATTGATCTGACTCAGGACAGGAACCAGTGGAGGGCTCTTGCGAACACTGTAATGAACCTTCGAGTTCCATAAAATGCTGGGAAATTCTTGAGTAACTGCACAATTGGCGTCTTCTCAAGAAGGGCTCAGATCCATGAGTGAGTAGCCGCCCATTCTGTAGCTACTCAAGAGCTTCCCAGCATTTTATGGAACTCGAAGGTTCATTACTGTGTTCACAAGAGCCCTCCACTGGTCCCCATCTTGAGCCAGATCAATTCAATCCATACCACCCAATCCTGTTTCTCTAAGAACCATTTTAATATTGTCGATCCTCCTATGCCTTGGTCTTCCAATTGCTCCCTGCTCATCTCATCCTCCTTGACTTGATCATTCTAATTATACTTGGAGAAGAGTACAAGTTTTGAGATTTCTTCTGCCATTGCCCTGAGCAAGCCTGCCCTATACATACTTCTCACATTCCAAATACCGAATGTTAGAATGAAACAACTGGTAGAAATTGTATTGTTGTATATTTCAGTCTTAAGTTTTGTAGACAGCAGATATGTAAACAAAATTTTCCAAACCGAATGATGATAAGCTTACACTAAATTGTATATCCTTTTAACTTCATCTTCAATACAAAGGCACCCCAAAAAAATGTATACACAATTAAATAGGGGTCTTCTGCCAACACATCCATGAAGTGGAGAATTGTAATGTAGGGCTCGTAGTGTGATATTCTCTCAGAAGATGTTGATAGTCACATGAATGCCAGAGCCACCTTGTTCAATGGCAGGACAGTCAACAAAAGTGGCGACAGTATGGCTGTGTACAATTTTTGGGTCTCTCTGTATATTTTTGATTTGTTACTGTCATTCTGAAATAATCCTCTTGGCAATTACTATCTGATATTTTGAATTCTTCTGGGTTCTGCTCCAATGGAGAACATCATTGTTAAACACAGATCATACGTTCATGAAGGTTTCTCCATGTTCTAGAATATATGTGAATTAATGGGAGTTCTTTCCTTGGATGTAAACCAGCTGGGGCGTGAAGCCAACCACTCACCTCCATCTAGTGGCGAGGTCAAACATTATGGAACTACACCTCTACTACCCTATAGGTTTTCATGGCATGGTACTAAGTTAAGCACAGCGACAACTTTACATTTTTATGTGACCTAATGAAACGTGTTTCTGTGCCAGGTACAGCTCAGGACGAGTTCTAATGCGTACAGTGCGAGGCAAGGAACTCACGCCCTGCTACTATCCATACCAGCCTACAGCTCAGCAGCCCAGTGACGATGACCTCAAGACATCTTGCCTGGGCAGTGGGCGAATCTCCCGGCAGCGTTCTCCCACAAAAGATGATCTGTCCCCCTCCAGGTGGCCATGTTTTCAATTTATAAATATGCACGTACGCCAGCCCTGTCCTTCCAAAATTGCAATTATCGGTTAATGCGTTTGATTGCCAATTGGCAGTTTTTAAAGCACTTCTGCAAACCTGCAGAGTGCCTACTGAAATTGCTTCATCTGTCCGTCTGCCCATCCATTGGAATGAAACATTGGAGAACTGCTTAATACATGGTCATGAATAAAAGATTATTAACGCCATCCAATGTACTTGATAAATATGGTATTCTTTAATCTTTCATCCTTTACATGTTTCAGTAAGAGTGACCACGTTCAGAAGGACATTATCAATACGTACAGACACTATTATTATTACACTGTCTGTACGTATTGATATTAATCATTGACATCGTAACAGAAGTTTCCGAATGTATTGATAATGTCTTTCTGAAGACGGTCACTCAGACTGAAACATGTAAAGGATGAAAGATTAAAAAGCTCAATGTTTATCAATCACACTGGACGGTGTTAATAATCCTTTATACTATTACTAGTGTGATGGACCAGGATGAACCAAGTCAGATTGTCATGAAATTTGATAATGGTCAGTTTTGCAAAAACTTGTACACACATTAAAGTTCTAATTAAAACTGGACAAAAAATGGGCATATTGTATGAAGATGCATATGTGTTTCTGCAAAGTACAAATATAACTCTTAAATACTTATTGAGGTAAAAAATGTTTGAAACAAAATGTCTGTTGCAGAATACTGCACAATTTTTCCATTTAATATAGCATTGGCAAATAATCTACGTGCATTCTTATCAGCACTACACACTTTTAGTCCATAATGGGTATCATGCGTACCACAGTTTTGTTAGGTATTATAATGGAGTCTCAGATTATTTGCCAATGCTACATCAAAGGGCAAAATTGTGCAATATTCTGCAATAGACATTTTGTTTCAAACATTTTTTAACCTCAATAAGTATTTAAGGGTTATTTATTATTTGTATTTTGCAGAAACACATACACATCTTCATACAGTATACTCATTATATGCCTTCATGTTGTGGTGCTTAAGTAAGCACATGGGCAACTTTATCATATCTTTCCTTTCTGCCGGTTTTTGTAGTTTGGTAGATGGTGGCCCACTAAGTGGAAGCTGTCAAATTCATGGGCCTGCACTAGCGATGCAGTCTGAGTCTACAGACGAACTGTCAGACAGCAACAAGAGTCCAGTGCTTCGAAACCCTGCTTTCTCACATTCAGCTTGTCCACCTGAAGTACACAAGTCATGCTTCTGTGTGCGCTTCATTGCAGAGCATACCAAGATGCTGGAGGACTCCACCAAAGTATGTGTTCTTGTCAAATACCAAAAAGGCATGGTACTTTGTTGTACATTATTTATCCAACAATCCACCTCAGATTGGTATGTGACACTGGCGATATTTTTAATTTAAGAAATTTAAAGTTTACAGTTGAGATGCAGTCATATTGCAAGTCATGCTGGTGGCTTTTATGTGAGATATTAAACTTCCTTTCAACATTTACATCTGTCAGAAATTTTGAAGATTCTGCCCTTTTGCTATGTCTGAGCCCCAGCAACTTTCTTTCTTTCTTTCTTTCTTTCTTTCTTTCTTTCTTTCTCTCTTTAAGAATTGGCATTCTTTTAGTTTGATTTTCATCTATATTTTGGAAACTGATCCAGAAATCCTTATTACAATACAATGAACTGAACGTAACACTTTTAACTAACGAATGCTGGTAGCAGATTTCTGGAACTCTTTCCTTTTGAATAGTGATGTAAGCTGACATGTAAGCTGTATGTGCAACCTTTTCCTTGTCTTCTCTTTGTCAGCTGTGCTAATGAGAACTACCTCTGTTTGTCTGAAGTACTTTTTTCATTAAGTCCTTTAATCTTATTTCATCCAAATGTTGATGTCACCATCTGCTCAATGTTCACAAAGTAAGTGTAATGAAAATTCTCATCAGGATGTTGTGTTTCACAGGTGAAGGAGGATTGGAAGTACGTAGCAATGGTGCTAGATCGATTGTTTCTATGGATCTTCACACTAGCCGTCCTAGTGGGAACAGCTGGTATCATTCTACAGGCACCAACACTTTATGATGATCGCGTTCCCATCGATAAGGGATTCAGTGAACTTGCAACAGTTGTGCGTTGCCCACCTCAGTAGTCATCTCTGTCATATTTTATGCAAAGGTTGAGAAAAATCTGTAAAAGCAACCAACAACTGACAAGTCCACTTTGCACACTGGGATCAGGGATCAGAAATTGGTCATGGCCTACATAACTGCATGTTTCTTTGGACAGAATAAGAATTGTAGATGAAGATAGAATTTGAAAAAATGTGAAATCTTATGAAGTTTGTTTATTCTGAGAGTTATTGAAATATTTAGAGAAGTTTATTCAAACTAGTACAGAGTTTGGTAGAATTCTCCATGGAATCTGTGTTGAAAAGTTCTTAACAATACACATATTTCCACAAGCTGGGATTATTTGTTACTTTTGACATAAAATTTATGGAGGCCTGCATGACGGAAGAAATAGATATAAGCCAGGAAAGGAATAGGAGAGTTATTATCATTGGCATATTTCATGGTAATATTCCAGAGAAGTATGATGGAAATTGCGGCAAAACCATTTTTGTAACAGCATTTTCTAAGGTTTAGAGAGGACCTGCAACATGACTATGAGACAGTCCATGGCTGAGTTCTCTTACTGAATTACATTGGTGACCTGTGGTGGAAACTGACAATTTTATATTCATATTATTTCATTGAAATAAGTCAATAAATTATTTATTAAATTCTTCATGCTGACAAAGTTGATTCTCAGTAAGACTTTCCTAGTATGGAAGCATAATACATTTCAGATCAAAATGAGATACAGGTCATCAGCCTCTTCCTCCTCCTCAATGAATTGACACAAACCTCTAGCAGTTTTTTAACAAGAATCTTTATCTTTATTTTTTATATAACAATATTAATGTGATCATACAACTACTGTGTACTATATTAGAGGGATAACACTAATATTAGTATTTCCATTACAATAGACTGTGATTCTGTAATTCTTTCTAGTGAGTTACAAAACTTTTAATTTTACATGCAGAATAATTTCATGACACCTATACTGGGATGGCTAGCTTTGTGATTGAACTTCAGTTACTTTTAAAAGGATAAATGCATTGTCTCATATGGAATTATCTCACACACAGTGACCAGTCTAGTATTCAGTGGACAGAAAGTTTGTTGTTGGTTTGCATTGCTTTGAAGTTGCCACAAGAGGACTACTATCCTATTCTGAAAACGCACAAGACAGCCAAAAATGTGCCAATAAATCTGTGACCATTTCAATCCTGGATAGGGTTGCAAACTTCCAGAATATGAACTGTTTAAAATTCTTTAATAATGTGATTTATAACAGTGAATGTCATGTTAATATGTCTCTTCTGAGTGACTGACTGGTTCTAGAACCGATGTATTGCAGAGCAACCACATTTCCCATAAACAATGGGATTTTCCTTTCTTTTCTTCCAAAGCAAGTTCTTTGGTACTGACTAATATTAATAATGGGGTGTCAGAAGGCAAGCTTTCAAACGCACTTTCCTAAAATATGTCTAAGACTTTTCTGACATTTAGAAAAGATTGCACATCTCATGGGTTTTTACTTCCAATGGTGCCACCCACAAAAAATAAAATTTTCTTTTCTCAAACTGTGCTGTTATGTAATTACATTTCTTGTATAAAGTGGTAGTGAAAGAATTTCGTTGTTATTCATTTGGATATAAGTTTCAAGTTATGTTTCAGTAATAATGGTATATTTCCCTTTTTACATTATCAGCTCCCTTCTTGTTCAAATAAATGGATTCCCTTTGTTACAATAGCTTCTTGTTTAATTAATATAAGGTACTTTAAAAAGCTGTCAACTGTTTAGTCATTCTGTATTACTGTGTTGTTAGAAAATGGCTAATGATAGTTTTATAAATTGTGCAACTTACAAAAATGCTTAGAAACAAAGAATGATGAATTCTTTTTGATATGTTTAATTACATGGGTCTTGAAAGTATAAACCTAAGAAGAGCACATGCTATGAAAGCAGGTGGAATTTTTTAAGCCCCCAGGTATTTTGAGGCTTCTGTTTGTATAGAAGAGATGATGTCCTGCAATAAATTATTCAAGTGTGTTACATGTTCCACATCATCATGTGAAAAAAATCGGTCACCACAGGCTGACAGTAAGGTTAGAAAAGACAGTTTTGGAAAGCAGTTACATATTTATTACCTCTGTGCAGAACTTGTAGTTCATAATGTACTTGGGTAATTACATTACCTGTTATATGTTATAGTTCTGTTGCCATAAACAGAGTAATCTTTTCTAAATGTCAGAGGAGCTACAGTAGATTTGCAATATCCATCAAACATACACTGAAAGTGTCACTACAAATAAATTTTGTATTATACATGAAGTCTCATTAATATTGATTTGAATTAATGAATCACAATAAATGGGACGACACTAACCATCACTTTACATGACGGCCTCAATAAGTTTTTAAATAAAAATATCGTAAAATTGTCATGGTTAAAATTGAAGCCTATAATATGAGTGATATTTTATCTTATATAAACTTTAATCATCTATCTTACTGAGTATACTTCCAGAATAAATACCCAAAGGGTTAACTCTGAGCTTCCTTATACACAGGTATATAAAACCCCTGCTTGTGAAACTTCTTCCTACCAAGTTTATTTCAATTCAGTTTTGTTTCTTTTTCTGTTGGAGTAAAGACATTGGGGCACATACGCAAGATGTCTTCAGTAACCTCATAAGCAGAGCATTCTAGTCATATCAGTTGTTCTGAATTCAAAACTGATATATTTAATTTATAATATCTGACACAAAATATGACAAACAGCATTTCAAGTTAGGCAGTTGATTTATCAGTCTGCTGTACATCAGGATTTCATCATACTTATCTGTCGTTCATATATGGGTGACCATTCTTCTCTTCACTTTCAAAATGTTATCTTATATTTTTTGAACTACTAACAGTATGCAGTGTTTTTGATAAAAAAAGTAACAACAAAAATCTCTTAAATTAATGGTTGGACACAGAAAATCTGCCCCAGATAAGCTGTTTGTACATCATAAATTCTGAATACAATAAGTCCTAAACTTGACTGCCCTGTTTTACATGTGTGTTGTTTCTGGATAATACTAAAACTCCATAACTTTGAGAAAAATAAAAATTGGTGATAATGTTGCTGATTCGGTTTACAAGAGAATATTACAGTGGCATTTCCACATATTCAAGCCTACATTAAAACTGGCCTAGCAGATAATATTAATAAACTTCAAGGCACTGCCAGTCTCTTTTCAGTGACTACAAAACTTCAAACTAAGAAATTATAATTAATCTTTCTTTATTTAAGTCTGGTAGATGGTACCTACCTACCAGGCTAATGTCATAATCCAGAAAACCAGAATATGGAACAGACACTTCCAGACTTCAATATTCTACATCTGTGAATTCCATTCAACCTGTCATTTCTGGGTTATTTTGTTTTCACTGTATTTGCTTTAGGGATATTATTCTATCATAATTTATAATATTTGGTAATTATGAGGAAATGTAAGTACAGCAATACCTTGCATAGTCCAGCTTCGATCAGTCCGGATTCACTATAGTCCAGTTTGAAAATTTCAAAACAAACTAAATTTTAATTCAGCAATATAAAAATAAATTCTAAAAAATTAGTACACAAAATTATTTTTAATACATAAATGATCGGTTTCTCCCTTTATACAGTCAAGTCTCTTTTTGTGTGGTTTATTTTTATGTGGTTTCAAAGTTATGCGATACGATACATATTTCAATTTTTCTGGGGTTCCCCGTTGTATATGTGTGTACTTATGCTTGGGCCAATCGTTCTTGAGCTCTGACAGCTATCACTGGAGGAGATGGGGAGAGCACTACTTTAACGGAATTTTGGAAGAGCTACATCAGAAACGTTATAGAAAATATAGGTGAAGCATGGCATGAATTAACGGCAAGCAATATGAGGGCAGTATGGAAACATATATCACATTGTGCAAATGATTTCATTGGTTTTGAAACTCATTTTGCTGAAGTCATTAATAACATAGAGGAAATTGGGCAGCAACTTGGTTTCAACGAGTTAGATTCCGTCAACATAATTGAGTGCAACAAATCAAACACTAATGAACTAGATAATGAAACATTTATTAACATAGATGAACAGCGGGCTTATGAAGAACAGGACGACAACTTAGACGACGACGACTGTGTTGAAGTGCCTGCATGAGAATTAACAGCTGAACAACTATAAAAAATTACTGAAATGGTTGAAACCTTGTTGGAGGATATTATGGAAGTTGATCTCAATATTGAATGTAGCCTTACAATTCGCCGAACGATAAACAAGGCAATTCGTTGATGCAAAGAAATGTAGGAAGAGAAAAGGCCAAAGAAGAAAAATGTGCAGACATCAATATTGCAATTTTTAGAGAATAAAAAATGAATTGCAAAAAACATGATTTCTTTAAATTATTTCTAATAGACATTTGAATTTATTAATAGCATTTTATTTATTGAAAAATGGATATTTTTTGGAACCAATTATCATTTTTTGTATTATTTAGTTCCTCAATTAGTCCGCTTTCAAACAGTCTGGGATATTGGCGGAACTGATTACCCGGACTATGCGAGGTATTGCTGTATATGCTAGTTACCCCCTTCAGATCTAACCGCAAATATATTGCTTTCTACTAGGTATATTTGCTGCACTAATCTCATTTCCACTTTATTTTTGTCTTCACACAAATATTCATGTTATGTTTTTTCAAATGTTATAACTATTATGCCTGTTCAAAGAAGAGGTAGTAAATGTTCTTCCCACGCAAAATCAGAGGCTAGCATGGGAGATGGCACTGACTTAGGTAAGGTAAAGTTGTCCCTTGTGCTTAAGTAATTAAGCACCAAGCCATGAAGGTGTATGGGGGAGTGGATGTACAGATCCACATTTTCTTGTTCTTGGCACTTAGTCGAGAAATGAAGAAGTGTTAATTAGAGTCACTGAGCAGAGGAATATCCTACACGAAATAAGAAAAACGGAAGGCTAATTGGATTGGTCATGTTTTACGCAGAAACTGCCTTCTAAAAGAAGTTATCGAAGGAAAGATAGAGGGGCGGATAGAAGTGACAAGAAGACGAGGAAGAAGACGTAAGAAGATGCTGGATGACCTTGGGGACAGAAGAGGATACTGTCATTTGAAGGAGAAAGCTCTAGATCGCATTAAGTGGAGGAATGTTTTGGAAGAGACTGTGGACCTGTCGTCTTGACAGATTACTGATGATGATGATGGCACTTAGGTGATTTTGTTAAAAGAAACTTTGGTCTGGATAGTGTGTCAGTGTTTAAAAAATGTGGTGGTGAAATATTAAATCAAATGAGAAAAGTGAGTGCATTTTGTTTCCAGAGAAAGGATTCATGAAGGTAATAATGATATAGCGCCAAATTTTTAATTCATGAGTATGTATTCTCTTTATATTACAAAATCCAGTAATTCATCATTCTCTTCACAATAATTCGAAGGAATGGATTTCAAACAAAGGTAATCTTGCATACAATTTGGCAAATGTGTAGTTTCTGACATAATATATAAGGTAATAAATTGTTTAGAGTTGACCAAAATATGCTTAGTGAGGGCAGAATGATTGTTAAAATGATAAACTGGAAATTACCTGGAACACTGTTTCAATGGTATAACGTGTACATGTAACCTTGTAGGACTGAGATGAGTTGAGATTCTTTCTTCTTGTATCACAGATTCAAAATCAAACATGTCAAGGCTTACATGAACAACAAGAAACAGAATAATCTTTTAAATTAGTTAAATATGAGTTGCTTATTTAGTGTATACATAATGATAAAACAGAAAATATATTCCTTGAACTTTCTGCCTATGTTTGTTCATGTCTAGAAAGCAGTAAATCTGTATAATTTTTATCATACCATAGTACATCAGGAGTTGCCAAAATACATCCCCATGTACCATTCAGGTTTTATTAACAATATATCCCCTTACTGTACACAGCATATAGAATGTATTGTAATCACAAAAAAGATCAACATTTTGATGTACATACAGGTTTCATGGGCTCTCAGTAAGTGTACTATTTTCATTCAGAATTCCTATATCTTGGAGTGAGAAACAGTGAGATATAAGACAAATTATGCAGCATCAAAAGTAAAATACTTTATACAACATAAAGTTGTGTTAATATTATGGTGGTTACCATATGGCTTGTTTCCATATACACTTGCATTATGGTTTAAAACTAGACAGATTTAAGAGTACTATCTTTTGGGATGTAGCCTCATATACTCTTGTAGATGTTTACTGATACATGTTTACATCAGTAAACAACTACCTAACTCCATAGTGCCACATCTCAGAAGATGTTAGTCTTCACTACTGTGAGAATCTCAAATGTCACAAATTATTTCAAATGAGAATGATGGGTGACTTTTTTTCTGGGCATCTTATACTTTCTCAAACAAACTGTTTCAATTGTACCTATATTACATAAAAGGAAATATGAGTACTTATTAGCCACTTTTAAAACACTACAGAACACTTCACCAGCAAATTTATATTTCTTCTGAGATGTGAACGCACATATCAAACAGCCAGCCTAATAAAACAGGCAGTATTCTGCAAATATATTTTGCTCAAGTGGGAGAGTCTTCTGTAACCTAAACATGAACAAACTACAGTGTAAGACATTATAGTTCTAGTCTCCTTAAGATGTTACTAAATTTATACTTCATTTATATGTTACAATGTATATGACAAATTCAGTTTCAGTCACACAGTCTTTAAAAAAGTTCTCTCAGAATATGAGATATTTTGTTTTGGAAATAACAGCCAACAGAAGCCAATAAACCGGAATAAAAACTAAACGAAAAATAAGAGAAATAAGTCAAGCATTTTTCTTCAGAATCAAGAATCTTCATTTTCATCTTGTTATGAGTCTAAAAGCCTGTACTTTTCAGAATAAAGCTGCTCCATACTTTATGCTGTCTCCCAGGGCTTTTACTAAATTTAGGAAAGAATATTCTTTTAAGACAGTAATCCAGACCTTATCGTCAAGGAGGATGAGGTGGGCAGGTCATGTAGCACGAATGGGGGAGACAAGGAATGTGTATAGGATATTGGTGGGAAAGCCAGAAGGAAAGAGACCACTGGGAAGACCAAGGCGTAGGTGGGCGGACAATATTAAAATTGATCTTATGGATTGGATAGATCTGGCTCAGGATAGGGACCAGTGGATGTTTCTTGTGAACACGGTAATGAACCTTTGGGTTCCATAAAAGGCTGGGAAATTCTTGAGTAGCTGCAGAATTGGCAGCTCCTCCAGAAGGGCTCAGCTCTATGAGTAAGTAAGTAAGTAAGTAAGTAAGTAAGTAAGTCAGTCCTTATCATGTCTGACATATGTTCAGTTTGTCCACTCATCAATGTTCTGGATTCTTTTTGATTTTTTAAGCTTTAACTTCTTGAGCCTGGTATTTTTTATTAATTTTCTAGCATTTCACTTGTTCTGGAAAATTGCTCATAAAGCGTCAGAATTTAATTTCACAGTGATATGCTCATATCAGAAGAGAACTACAAGCTAATAATAACATTTTAGTCATGGATGTTTCAATGAATATGTATGTATAAACTGTTCATTGTACGTTTTGTTTCTGTTCGAGAGAGAGGAGACCTGACAAGAGCATGAAATGGATGGCTTGTCGAGCACCAAGACAACAAAACCTGAAAAACAAATGCCTACCAGTTCCTACTGGAACTGCAACATTATGTTCCAACAGTGTACCACCACATTTATTTGTATTGTGTAGCATCAATTACATGACTACGTGCTGTACAGAAGACATTTTTAAAATTAAACCAATAATTAATAAAATTATAGTGTATATAGAAAAGAATGAGGCTTGTTGGAAAAACGATGACTCATTTTCAAGATTATGGCACAAAATATTAAAACTATGATATCTGGTACTAAAATTCCCACTCTAGAATGTGAGAAGAGTATTTTACATAGAGAAGTTAAGCTGCACAATGCTTTCAACTTCTGGTGCCACAAAGTTGCAGAACACATAGGAGATTGCATGTGTGTGAGAGCTGGGTCAAATGTGAACAAGTAGAGTGACATATGTATGAATCCTAACCTTCTTACATTATAGGTACACGGTATATCTGTCATTTCAGTCATGAGTGTCGATGTTTTTGAAGGTGTGTTCACTATTACTAAAGCTCTATCACCACATGACATCCTGAGTTTTACAGTTTGTCAGGACTGCCATGCTGTGGATCCAGACAGTGTGTAAAGTTGACTGAAATGGCTATCTTTGGTCTTCTGGTAAGAACAGCTGGGGGAACCTACCCAACACATATTATGCTACTGGGTATAATCTCAGTAAACATAAATTTACAACTTAACAAACCCAGAGGAAGCAGTACATGTCACAGTTGTATGGATCAAAACTCAAAAGAGCACATATAACCATCTGAGAGCTACCCAGTTCACATAAACAAACATAAATATTAGTTGATCCTACTATTTATTATTGAATTCTGAACATCACAGAATATATTTGATTTCTTGCATGCAGTATGATCGACAGCCTCCATCGCATCCTCTCCATTTTAATAAATGAATCTTCACTGTGTATCACATGCATTACAAGGCAGTCTCCTCTATTGTTCGTCCTTCATAAAAACAGAATTCCTCTCCAAACAAATATGGTTTAATTACAATATCAGGCTACATCAAGTATAGATCTGATCAAACAATGTTTCTGATACAGGAACCTCTCATTCAGGACAGAGATAAATCTCTGCCTCTGCTGGGAATCAAACCCCACTTCCTCTACCTTCCAGCCCATACCCTAGTCACTACATAAAATGAAATAGACTAATGTACATGGGAGATTTAACTCTTCCTTTGGTATGGAATATAAGCACCATATATTCCGAGATGCTGGTAGCTCACAGAATACCTATTTATGATCACACTGAACTTTTAAAATATTTATTGTTCAAGGAATATAATTTGTAATTTTATTGCTATGAAAAAGTACAAACAGACAAATGTGGCAACCGTTCCTAGTCATTGACTCCTAACAGAGGTAGTCAGATAGTGTATACTATTTATTATTCTGTGTGCATGGGCCTTTATTATGATACTTCTGTCTTATGAACAAATTTCATCATGTCGTTCCATGATCAGGAGTACCAACATGTGTTCACATTTGACCATGTTCCTTCCCATTTGCACTGTTCATATTTTTAAAGAAAACAGAACCATGCAACTGATTTCATTGTTACAGTCGCAAATGTTGCTAGTTTGTATAGCTTTAGTTTGTTAGATGGATAATAGCTGATTATTGTAAATAGAGATATATCATTGACTGATTTGAAATGAATGACATTTTTACCATAGCAGTAATGAGATTTGTTGTCGGTGTATCTTCAGCTTGTGTAAATGTCTGTACTAAACTGAATGCTAAATAATACAGATAACAATTACATGCAAGAGTGACATCAGAAGATGCCCACTGACCTTGGGACTCTGTGCTCTGGAACTATTTTGACATCAGCACTCCTATTTCACTGCAAAAATAAATGGTTTAATGAGTCTGAAATCTCATACAATTTTATGGAATTCCCTGCAAAATGTAAGATATTTTTGTTGGAAAGTGTTTAATAAAATTTTCTGCTAAATTGGTTATTTAACTACGCTGTTAGTACTGAGACTATATAGTGCCGGGTATTGAAAAATTTTGTAACAGTGAACGGTATTGAATTTCAAAATTATTTTACTTCTAATTTATATTTTAAAGGATTTTATCTGAGGTCTTTGATGGTGGAACATAACAGAGTTTACACCAAATTCTGGTTTATAACCTACAAGTTGAGAATTATGTGTGTACAATGCAGGCATGTGTTACAATAATTTTCCTAACATCTCTTGGGAATCACATGTGGAAATGTTTGAGTACTCACAAGCAGAAGTTGACCAGTATGTGGTTGCATCTGCTGACAATGTCAAGATACAAGGATATCAGTACACGGTAGTTAAAACTTCAATAAGAAAGGAATGATACTCTTTCAATTATTCATTCATTTACATTCCATGGATCCCTACATGGCTGGGAGACCAATGGATATAAAAATTTTACTCGCTGGTCATGGTAGCCAAGCAGTCTAAGGCATGCACTGTCTTCACTCGCTTGGAAGCTGGGATCATGGGTTCGAATCCCACTCAGGGCATGGATGTTTGTGTGCGTTTTTCTGTGTTTGTACACAGGTAGAGGCCTTGCGACGAGCTGATCACCCGCCCAGGAGTAGTACCGTAAGTCTAAGAACTAGTAAAACCGAACAGAGAGTTGCATGGAGGTAGGCCTAGGCCCAACTGAGGGCTGTAGCGCCAATGAAAAAAATAAAATACTCAGGTAATTAAATATTTGGAATGAGGATCCAAATTTCATCCAAAAGCTATATACATTTCACATGCTTGTAGTTAGTTCTGCAGAACAGAAATGCCCTTTTCTACATGTATGCACATGTAAATCTCAAGATATAAATTTCAAAAGTCTATTTTACATAATTCATCTCTATATTAGTGAAGAATCAGCCGTAATATTATTTCTTATACATAAGCTAATGCAGAACTTCATAATGAGAGTATACTTTAAAAATTTGTCATGCAGGCATGCAAAACTGGCATATCAAGTTTATCAAGATGTAACAGATGTGTTTCTATAGAATTATATAGTACAAAATGTAAGAATACTTGGATACAGAGATGTACAGAATAGGGAAAGCTGATGACAATGAAGCACAGAGAAGCCATGTCTATGGACATCTTGAACTAAATTTACTGCTAAACAAACTGTAATCAGAAAGCTCAACTAACATAAACCATAATCCACTCCTTATCCTTTCCAGACTTTAACTTGCAAAATTTCATAAATAGTTCACAGTGTATTACAACAACACTGTTTAGGATTCACCAGTAATACAAGACCTTCAATATTAACTATATAACAAAAGAAGAAAAAAAAGAAAATTATGAATGGTCAGAATTACTGGGCTTTGGGACTTTGTACATCATCCAGTATTCCAAAAACTAGAGAATGCACAATTTCAATGTTTCAAAAGCTAAATCTCTTTCCATCATCAGGTGAGGGGGCAAACATCTACTCTGTTGGGTCTCTTAGAAAAAGTTAATCTCAATCACAGCACAACCTATGTAAGTATGAAAAAAGGTCAAGTTGTCCCTGTGCTTAACTAATTAAGCACTACACCATGAAGAAGTGGGAGTCAATGTATAGATCCACCTTTTCTTGACCTGGGCACTAGTTGGAAGTGAGTGGTCAGCTGGCCTCTTTACCCTTGGGGAAAGTGTGCCCCAGTACCCAATAGACAGTAGGCTGGATGACATGGAGAAGTGATAATTCTTGCCCCCACTGGGACTTGAACTCCGACCCCCTGGTTGTCCACCCCATACCGACTGAGTCTAAGTCTTATATTATGACTGACAGTCAGTTGACCACTCTGTGCTGCTGGCCCTTGCCAGTGCAGTCATTCTTGGGTCTGAGTCCCATGGGACTCATGACCATATTTTACTGTCTCAGATTTGAGACTTCCATCTCCATCACCATCACCTTCTACAACTCACAGGGCTACGATGGAGGTATTCGATGCTGCCTCCAAACAGGGTAATCAGCTCTGACGACTCTCTTATATAATTCAGGGCGAACTGAAGAGAGCCACCACCTCGAACAGTTGTGTATTACTGCGTCTATTCATTGCTGAGGGAATGTGCTTACTGAACCGCTGCCCAGCAACAGGCTATTCCACATCTATTCATTCCTGTGGGAACATTCTTACTGAACCTTTGCCCAGCAATGGTCATATTCATCAAATATTATTTGAAGAGTCTAATTATGTATGAAACTAATTAAAAAACATGTCAACATAGCATGTCACTAGCTAATTCATGGCCCACATTACAGAAGATATCCATCAAAACCAATAAATTTATGTTAAGGCCATGTGTACACAGGCGACAAATTGTGGAACGACATATTTGTTGGGAATTATCCCGATAAGTTTCTTTCTTACTACAGAATGAGTGTTTCCAGTTTGGATGAACTTCTGGCTCTAGTAGGACCCTCAATTGCTAGGGAGAACACTAATTGCAGAAGAAGTGTGCCTGAACCAGAACGACTTTCCGTTGCATTGAGGTAAGTACATTTTGAAATCGTGCAGCAAAGAAAACTTTTAATCAAAATGTAAGCAATTTTAAGTATAATCGTTCATTTTCTCACGACAATTTTTATTAGTTATAGGATTACATTAGCATAATGAATAATTACAAGTAACTACTCATTCACAACAGAGTCCAAGTCTAGAATATCAGAATCTGGGGAATGCACGATAGTCATCGGAGATGACTTGTGAGTTGACTGAGTGTGGTGATGATGTCCATGTTGAAAATGTTGATCCCTGTTGTTGTTGTTGTTGTTGTTGTCATTGTTGTTGTGGCTGCCAGTGTCCTGTTAGGTGGTAGTTGCCATAAGTACTTGTTGAAGGTATTGGTTGCATTTGAGGAGCTGTTCTCCTGTATACTCCTCCTCCTGAAAACCAGTAAGGATCCATTCCTGTTTGATATGAACCTTGTGGTTGGTTCTGTAGAGTGTGACAGGTGGGTAGCTGCACAGCTTGGGTACTGGTACTTGCAAAACCTCGCAATACCTGAAGTATCTCGATCCTAGCGTCAAGCTTCTTGTCCTCACTGATACACTTTAAAAATGGTACTAGTGACATGGCGTAAGTTACATCCTCATCTGTCGCAGCCTGCTGTTTCTCACTTAAAATTTCTAGCATCTGAATTTCAAAACAATATTGTCCTGGTCTTTTGATTGTCTTCCTTGCAGGTCTGTTTCAAGTGATATTCTCACTGCCTGGTTCTGGTGTAACTTCTGCAGGGTCTTCAACTGCTTCATTTCCTTCCCCTCCTTCATCTTCCTGAAGATTTGTTGCTGCTGATTTTGGCTGTGTGTGGGGCAGTAAAAAAAAAAGAAGTCTGTCAAAGTAGATGTATTTACTTCTTTTACATGCAGGCTGTCCACTCTTAACATGTCTCTGTTCACGTAGCTCCCTCGAGAAGGAAGATCTTAAACCCTTCCACTTGTCTTGGATCTCTTTTCCTGAAAGAATCATACAAGAATCATACAAACTGTAAATAATATATATGCTACTTGTTGCATCCATTTATTATTATTATTATTATTACTACTACTACTACTACTACTATTGTCGTCTCCTTTTCCAGATATCTTTCAACGGGAATGACCATGCATGGTATTTCACATGAGTACTGTTTGGGCGTCAAAACTGTACACGTTATTATCGAATCTACATGCAGCGTCCTATGGGATGTTCTGGTACCACTGTACATGAGACCTAACAAAACAGAAGATGACTGGATTGCAATTGCCAGCAAGTTCTATGAGAGAACAGACTTTCCAAATGTAATTGGCGCTGTGGATGGGAAACACATTTCGATTGTCCAGCCTAGCGGAACTGAAAGTATGCACTTCAACTACAAGAAATTTTTTTCTTTTGTTCTTATGGCCTGGGTCGACTCAAACTATCATTTCCTTTTTGTGGATATTGGAGGTTATGGAACATCAGGTGATTCGACAATTTTCCATTACTCCAAAATGGGAAAAAAGACTAGCTGATAATACTCTTGGTATTCCACAAGCTAGACCGTTGCCTAATGATGACAATGGTTGACCAATGCCTTTTGTTCTAGTTGCAGATGAGGCTTTTGGGCTGCGCGTATACATCATGAGACCATATCCAAAAAAGAAACTGATGTACTCTCAGAGGATTTTTAACTGCAGACATGTCAGAGCTCGTCGTGTTGTAGAATACACCTTTGGAATTTTAGCATCAAAATGTCGTGCTCTGTACAGGCCACCGAACACCAGTGTACCTCTTTCTGAGTCGACTGTCAAGGCCTGCTGCGTGTTGCATAATTACGTGCATAGCAAAGATGGAATAAATTTTGATGATACCCTGTATGATGTTCCTCTTGAACCCGTCAACCCATGCAACGTGCGAGGAGCTCCCTCAGCATTGAATGTAAGGAATTACTTCACAGAATACTTCACTTCTCCTCAGGGTAGCGTTCCTTGGCAGTACGATAAAGTGTACGATACTGGCGAAAACTGAAAACTAGGGTGGGGCTAATCAGGACCACTGTAACATTTTGATTAGTAATTGCTTTTTATATGCATTGGTAACGAGTTAACTGTTTATAATATTCCTTTACATGTATCTGAAGTAGTAACAATATAATGTAGTAAATATTTGAACTAATAAATGCACAATATATGTTTCTTCATTTGGAGACCTGTGTCCAAATATAGGCCTAATGCACAGTATACATTTCTTCATTTGGAGACCTATGTCCAAATATAGGCCTAATGCACAGTATACGTTTCTTCATTTGGAGACCTATGTCCAAATATAGGCCTAATGCACAGTATACATTTCTTCATTTAGAGACCTGTGTCCAAATATAGGCCTAATGCACAAAATACAACATAGGCTATCGCAGATGGTAAATCTGAATGTGAATTGTTTACTGATTAGATGTGACACTGCCCTCTGCCATGATGAAAAATTGTTCTGTATGTGTCATAAAGATAAATCACAATAATTATAATACATTATTATTAGGCCTATATACTTACCAGCCTCAACCTTCTGTTCGCCCATCTTGCCATCCCAATCCTCCAACACAGCCTCATAAACCTCAAGCAACAGCTTTTTCTTCAAGTTGCTGTCCAAATACCCTTTCAGGGTCTTGTTGTACAGAGCAGGTCTTTTTTCCATCCCATTTATAAGTTTTTCAATTCCCTCATCACTCAATAAGGTCATTGTAAAACAACTTAAATAAAAACACAGTAGCACAATAGCATGTCAGCACAGTCACACAGTCGGATACGCACTGTATTCATTCCCGTGGGCCTGCCGACAGAAATGTCGCCAGTGTACACAGCCCCATCTGATAGCACTGCGCTCAATGGGGGCAACTTGGGCAATGATACTAAAAAGTTTAAATGAGAGTTAAAGAATTATCTACATGCTCATTCCTTCTACTCTTTAGATGAATACTTCAATGTAAATAGAGAATGATGTAAAATTAAGTTATATTAATTTTTAAGCTAAAATTGCCTGTACTTATGTATGTAACCTTTTGACTTGTTCTGTATCCAAAGGTACTAACCTGCTTAGGATTTATAGAATGCAAATAAATTCAATTCAATTCAATTCAACCTACTCGTACGACAAGAGTTGTCACAAAGTTGTAGCCCACCACAACTCTTTCAACTGCTGAGACACCGTTTTGTCGTGTCGTTGCCTGTGTACACACATCCATTCAAACCTATTGAACACATCGTGACGACAAAATTGTCGTTCCACAATTTGTCGCCTGTGTACACATGGCCTAACAGTATTCCTTAATATTTCTTGCAGTTTGATGATTACCTCTGAGAGATTAAAACAAATCTTAAAGAAACAGGAAGTGGGTTTAACCTGGTTCGGGATAGGGGCTAGTGAGGGACTCTTGTAAACATGGTGATGAACCTTCAGGTTCTGTGAAATGCTGGGAATTTCTTGACTAGGTGAGCAACTATTAGCTTCTCAAGGACTATTCCCTATTCACCTAAGTTCCTTTCAAGATCATCTCATTGACTAAATCTGGTCCATAGGCTTACAAGCATGACCATGATAGAGTGTAGAGGCAAACTGGAGAATATGCTAGCCATTGAGCATGAACTTCACATCTGAAGAGTTCTATCTTCTGGGATACAATGCCATGTTGCTCGTTAGAAGTCAACCGACATGTTGAAGGAACATGTCACCTCCATCTTCAAAGTTGAAGAATTTGCCGAATAAGAAAGCAGCACAAAGCAAGTGGTAAGCAGAGCTCTTTGTCCCTGAAAATGGAGGCAACATGTTCCTTCAGAACATTGGTTGATTTTTAACAGACTACACAGCATTATATGCAGAAGAGTGAACTCTTTTAAGAACCACTGCTTCCTAACTAGCACTTCATTTCCTGATTATAACACATTACCTGGAGTCAGTGCCATCAGTATTATTTCTACAAAAGGTAACAACAGATTTCTCACAATTAAGTTATCCTTATTTAATTATCATTATGTTCTGGGAACAATTTAAACAGCCCCTTGATTGGTTACTGTTTCCTTACATAGTTTTGCCCTCCAGCTGCTCCATTTAACTATACTCCTTGTCATTTTATTTTACTTTCACTTTGGTTTAGCTCTCCTTGTATGTTTTACTACATATACCTCTAAAGCTCTAAAGCTAGTATGTTAGTTCCTTTCACGTTACTTTACTTCTTTCACTTGGGCATCTGCTCCCCTATTTTTATTTTACTTCATTCCTCCATAATTCACCCTACGATTTTATTTTATTTGTATCCATTTAATTTCCATTCCTCTTCATTCTCTCAATCATGCCTTTCCCTCCTTCTGTATTCAAATACAGATATACTTTTTAATATTACCTACTGCTTAACGAAACTGTGTGGTAACATATTAGAAAACGTACTTTCTTCTGGGATCTGACGCCGTGTAGCTTGACGTAAGTTCGGCGACATTTCGGAAGAAGCCGAACAAGCCACGTGCAAGAATGTAACGGCAAATCCCGCAAACCGATTCAGTCACCATTATGACGATTATGACCATTTTTACCACGTAATAACGGCATATAATAATCTCCTGTGTAACATGACCTACTCGAAATTTGTCGACGTCACGGAGAACAGCAGTACGTTAATCTTAGACTTTTTTTACCATCCGAAAGCGATGATCTGACTCAATCCACTGTGCGTTCCGTAATTGAGCACATGTAAAACAGCGCGAAAATGGAAACTCGAAAGAAGAGTAAACACGTTGAAGTGCAGTTCGTCTCCAATCAAGATGTTGGAAGAGAGATAATTTCCATTAAAGACACGAAGGTTAAAAAAATAGGTACTAATGTATATACAAATTACTCGCGTGCGTATGCATTAATTCCGCAGTTATGTTATCTAAGCTGTGATTATGCAGCAGTCAAGAAACTAAAAGTGTTCGTATAACAAACTCTCAGCCTTAAAGCCCTTATTTGCGTGTTAGAATCTCGGCGAGCAAAATTTTCTTCATTTTCCTAGAGAATCATAAAATGAAGTATTCTTATATAATTCGTCTACGCAGATAATCGTTTTAAGGTTAAGTTGTTCCATGGATAATGTATACATTAATATCTGTTAATGTATTTACAACCAGTCACCTAAAGACAAGAAGGTTTCTACATGTCCTGTATTTATAAGCTCTATATATATATATATATATATATGTGTGTATAGAAAAGGTAATGTAACATTAAGATGAAATCATGCAATTTATATTACCATAGCATCAAATTGTCGAGCAATAATACGTTGCATGAACATAAGTTTAGTACATCACAGAAAAGTTTCATTGTATCATGTGTATACTGTGAGTAATGATATTTTTATATGGTTATATCAAGAGTAGTGTACTATGTATTTATTTGTAATTACATTTCATAGATCCAGTTGTTTCCCAGTAGGGATGGATATAAAATTTGTCATATACAAAGTCTTACATAAAAGATCACATGCGATAAATATACAGTATTAAATATACTTACTTACTTACTCATGGAGCTGAGTCCTTCTGGAGGAGCCGCCAATTCTGCAGCTACTCAAGAATTTCCCAGCATTTTATCGAACCCAAAGGTTCATTACCATGTTCACAAGAGCCCTCCACTGGTCCCTATCCTCAGCCAGATCTATCCAATCCATATCATCTCATCCTATCTCTCTAAGATCCATTCTAATATTGTCCACCCACCTATGCCTTGGTCTTCCCTGTGGTCTCTTTCCTTTTGGCTTTCCCACCAATATCCTATACCCATTCCTCAATAAATATAACATATACAATTTAAGATATAACATATTCAAATATATATAAGGTAAATAGAGCCTCATGCAAAGAGCACAAGTTGTCAGTCCAATTTTCCCATTTATAAAAATACATACATGTTAAGTCTATTCTCATCCTTAACTGACTAGAACTGTCAAATGTTAAATTAATCGGTACAGCTACCATTAAACCCAACCAAAAGGATTAACTCACAATAAGTTTACTCACACTATTTATTTACCCTCTATCTTTGTAACTCTTGTATGCTCTATAAATTCATCGATAGACTAAAAAGAATTTCTCAGCAGATATCTTGGGAGACAGTTTAGGATTATGTATTTGTGTATGTTGTTCCTGGGAAATGGCTTTAAATTTTGACCTTGGCATCTAATTCTGTAGAATGTAGGACTGAAAAGGAATTTGGCAGAAAGCAATGGAAGTTATAGAATGGAAGCTTATATGACAAATGATGAGCCTACTTGTAGGATTCTGGTTTAATAGTACTCTAGTTATATATACAGTAAAACTTGTCTATAACAGAATCCCAGGGGGGCTTAGACCTTTTCCATTATAGGCAGGTGCCCCTTTGACAGATACTTAACACTAAATTAAAGACACGATATAGGTACACGGTATATCTGTCATTTCAGTCATGACTGTCGATGTTTTTAAAGGTGTGTTCACAATTACTGAAGCTCTATCACCACATGACATCTTGAGTTTTACAGTTTGTCAGGACTGCCATGCTGCGGGTCCAGACAGCGTGTAAAGTTGACTGAAATGGCTATCTTTGGTCTTCTGGTAAGAACAGCTGGGGGAACCTGCCCAACACTTGACAGTTCATCAGGAACTGTTTTGCTTCCTGACCCATGTAGAGTTCACACGAAATCCATGCGACCTACTTACTGTCATGGCTTTTCCAGTGATCTGACACTGAAAACATGCCCAAATTGTAAATGTTTTGCATACATGTTCTCTGCCATTGATGTGTTTATCTCCAGTTTTACCAGACTCATGTTTCATTGAACCATTAATATTTAGCTGCTAATTCTTTTTACCTCAGACTTTGCTTTTCTAATTTCATACATTTTAATTTTACAAACTTTAATTTTGATTTATATCACCCTCAGATTCTTCATTCTCTTTAACTTTGCATCCACGTCCAACTTGACTTTCCCTTTGGACTTTATGACTGCAGCTGACTGAATAAGTAGGCATTTTTTAATTGTTATAATAGAACTGCATAGGGGGCACATGGTAGTGTAGTTGGTTGAGACACCATGCTACAAGCTGGAAGGTCACAGGTTCAAGTCCCAAGGAGGTGTTTTTTTTCAGTTGACCGAATCCTTTCAGCTGCACTATGGCCCTGGTGTCGACTCAGCCTCTAACAGAAATGACTACCAGGAATCTTCTTGGGGGTAAAGATATGGCCTGCATGTAAGGCTGACAACCTTACTGCCATCTGTAAGCCAGTTGTCTAAAGAAAATGTGGGAGCCTCAATGTCTCACAACCCTATGGGCCTTCACGGCCTGTTGCAGGAATAGCTATTTATGTAGAACTGGTATGACGTTACACAATTGTGATGCAGTATGTGATCATGTTTACTCCTGTTGACTATTTCTATATCCATTGGTGTTTAACCATGTAAGGATTTATGGAATGCTGAATATCCAAATGACTAGAGAGACAAGGAAATTCCAGACTTCTGGTTAACAGTTGTGTATGATTTACGACTGTATGTGAAGAAATGTGTCTGTGTGGGACATTATGGCAAGCCTTCCCATGCATATAGCTAGTCCACCAACTCAAATAAATGTTCAGAGATAGTATATGAGACAAACTCCGTCTTAAGTGCAACAGTTTAATTGTAGTTCTTCCTTCTTTCCTTCCTCCACACTACATGTTTCGGCCATTTAGGGCCGAAACATGTAGTGTGGAGGAAGGAAAGAAGGAAGAACTACAATTAAATTGTTGCACTTAAGACGGAGTTTGTCTCATATATTGTGTGAGTGTAACAGGATGCTTAAATATAATATTATTCAGAGATAGTTTAAAATGAAAAATCTTCATGGGCTGCATCCTGTTGTGTGTCATATAATAACATTAAAATTAAGATTTAAGAAGTTGCATGGAAAAAGGTAAAAGAAAAATTAGTATCAGATAAGTTATTTTCCTTTAAAAGTTTTGTTTCTGCTTTTCATATCTGCAGTGAAGAATTTATATTTATTATGGGTGGGTTTGCTGGTCACAGTAGCCGAGCGGTCTAAGGCATGTACTGTCTTCGCTCACTTGGAAACCAGGATCATGGGTTCGAATCCCACTCAGGGCATGGATGTTTAGTTTGTGTATGTGCGTTTTTCTGTGTTTGTATACAGGTAGAGTCCTTGCGATGAGCTGATCACCTGCCCAAGGAGTCCTACCAAATGTGTAAGATCTAGAAAAACCGAAGTGAACGGAGAAGTTCATGGAGGTAGGCCTAGGCCCACTGGGGCTGTAGTGCCAAGGAAAAAAAAATGGGTGGATTTACATAATTTTTTGTGCTAAATTCTTGAAAACAGGAACATTTTCCATTATGATCAAGTTTGCATTTGAGAGAGGTTCTGGCAGAAACAGAATATACACTGTACAGATTATATCTTAGACAGCAGGCAATTTCCAACATGATTGCTGTGTAGGATGTATTTATTGTTAGACTGTACATTAGTATCTGAATAGATTTTTTTACCAATCTTTATTTCAGGAAATGCTCTTCAAAGAAGAAGGAAACGTAAACAGTGCAAGAGCAGTGATTCAGATGAAGAGGTGGATGACTTGCCATGTAAAGATCTTGACACAAATGAGAGACCAACAGGTTAGAAAGTATTGTGCTACTAATGTACTATAATTTTTCCAAAAGCATACATTTTCAGTGTTTTGTGTAACATTATCAATTTATAACGTTGTGGATTATAAGTACTGTTACAAAGACTATGTTGCATTATATCACAAATGTAAACCCTCTGTTTCTGCTGCAGAAAAATTACCAATATTCACCAGGTATCCTGTCTGATGTTTTTATGGTTTCCCTCAGTCCCTCCAGACACACCAAGATAGTACCTTGCTTAGGCCATGACACTTCCTCCAAAATCCTTCCAGTTCATCATGCATTACTTGTCATTCATCCTTCCATTCAATACTGTATAATTTAGAACCTAATGGCATAAATAAATACCCCCCCCCCAAAAAAAAAGAAAAACATTTATTTATGTCTCATGCCTTACATTTGGACATGTGATAGCATAGTTATTTGAGGCAGTGTGCTACAAGCTAGAAGGTTGCAGGTTCAAATACTGATGAGGTCATTTGGTTTTTCAATTAACATAATCCTTCCAGCTGCACTATGTCCCTGGGGTCGACTCAGCCTCTAATAGAAATGAGTACCAGGAATCTTCCTGGGGGTAAAGGGCAGCTGATGCGTAAGGTTAACACCCCCCCCCCAATAAGCTGATTGTCCAGAAAATATGGGAACCTCAACATCTTACAACGCTGTGGGATGACTTCACCTTTTTTACCATGCCTTACACTTAAACAAAAAACAAACTCCATGGTCTGTAGTCCTCAAGTAAACTATACCAACCGAGTGACTGCCGCTTGTTGTCGAAATTAGTGCTAACTTTAGCAGATAGAGGGTGTTCGCATGGTCAGTGCAACGGATCACCACAGTTGTTTATCTCGGTTTTCTAGACCAGAACCGCTATTTCCTTGAAATACCTCCTCAGTTATCCTCACAAGGCTGAGTTGACTCCGTTCCAGACCCACTGCTTCTCAGAAAATCTGGTAGAGCCAGGAATCGAACCCAGGATCCCTGGATCTGTAGGCGGAACTCTGACCACTAGACCACAGAGGCGGTCCATGCCTTACACTTACATAAATTAAATTAAAGGGAGGGCTTACCCACTGAGATGTGTGTGGAATGAAATATGAGATGCTTTATTCCCATTTATATTGTGTTAATGAATATTTTAATTGTTAGTTTATTGCTGTTCATTTAAGCAGCAAGTTGGCCCTATGTTTGTATTCAGTAGGCACCTCATTCAAATCCCACTCAGGTTGCTGGCTATACAGACTGGTATATGTATGACAACTATGGTCTTCTGGCTTGTGATGCCATGTAGTTCAAAGTAAACATGGGTGTTTTGGAGGATCATGTCACCTCTATCTTCAGAGTCTAAATTTAAGCCAAGCAAAAAGCCAGCAGGAGCAGGTGGCAAGCTGAATACAGAAGACTGTCCTCTTCATAGTCATCACCATGAGAACCTCAAATACAGCCTAACTGTTTTTGTGGTTTTCCTCATTCATTGGCTAAATACTGGGGTAATACCTTCAGACTGGTCATGAACAGCCTTGAAGGTTCATAATAATCTTCTCATCTCATTCAGTTCTATAATATCTGTGACTGGAACAACAAATAACCTTGAATTAATTGGCCTGCAAATATCAATGGATACCATTTCTTAAACACCTTAAATTTTTCACAGATTTGTTACTGCTGAACAAGTTGGTCTAGAGACAGTGCTCCAGACTTGTATTTGGGAGGTACTTGGTTTGAATTTCGGTCAGGACACTGGCAATCTTGACTGGACTTTTTTGTGGCTCTTCTAATTCCTTCCAGGCAAATGTCAGGCTAATGCCTTGAATGGGCCATGGCTTCTTCCTTCCAAATCCTTCTAGATTCATGATCATTTGTGTATCATTCTACCTTCAACATGACATAGTTTTGATACCAGATATATCTGTGATCTGCATTATCCACAAACTAGTCTAACACAATTCCAAAAAGGAATATGTTACATGGGAGTAAAGATCTTTAATCATTTGCCACCAAAAATCAAATCTATGTCTAATGACTTGAAAAATTTTAAAATTCAGTTGACAACATTTTATTTGCAAAATTCTTTTTATACATGTGATGAATTCTTTAGTAACAAATTTGCCTAGAAATAAGGATAATAACATAAACAGTTTTAATATTGCATAATTTTATGTATAGTGATGTAAGACTGTAAATTTAACACATGTTTTTTTATCTATTATAATGATTATAAGCTGTACATATATATATTTATAATTGTATTGTACTATATTAACTATGTGACTGGTTCTATATCTATGTATATGGATTTATGGAATATACAATAAATGAATGAATGAATGAATGAATGAATAAATAACCTGCATAGCAAAACCGATTTGTTAGTTACAGAGTTACAATCGAATAAATCTCTTCATAAACCTACCACAAAAGCGTAAAACATGCAGATCATTATATTAAATGCTCCTGTTATCAAAAACTAAAGCTGGTAGTTTTTTTATTGCTAGTGGGGTGGGACCAAGTCCCTTGTACTGCAGCCACTTCTGGGCTATTGTACCAGCCGCAGATGATAGGTGAGAGTGATTGTGGAGCAACTGGTGGAATGAAGATTGGCAGGGGAAACCGAAGTACTCGCCCCAGCGCCACACTGTCCACCATAAATCCCACTTGACCAGACCTGGGATTGAATCCAGGCTGCCGCGATGGGAAGCCAGTGACTAACCACTTGAGCTATGGCGCAGCCAAAGCTGATAGTTGCTTGCCTGTTTAAGAATTCCACACCTTTAATGGAATGCAGAGCTTTGTTGTATGAGAAGATAAAACTACTAGAAGAGAGAAAGTTTAGTGAGTAAGTCCGAGAGCACACTAAGGAAACTGCAACTGCAACGCAACCACGATTTCCGATAAGTGTTATCAGCCCAAGTTGAACACATGTTACAGAATGGAGCAGCGCAAACGGCAAACAGCAACGCAGTTTCCTCAATTTGCGCTGCTCCATTCAGTAACATGCGTTCAACTCAGGCTGGTAACAATTCACGGAAATCGCGTTGTGTTGCAGTTTCCAGTTTGCTTGGTGTACCCACAACATAGAGTTCTGATGTTCCAAAACATCAACTTAAAGAAGTGTGACTGTTGTCTTGCAGCCCTGTTTGAAGAAGGTGATGTTCCTGGTCAGCAGATGTTTGGATTCCAGACTACAAAGGGCAAGAGGGCACTTACACCAAGAACACCAAGGACACCAAAAACACCACAGCCCGAAAAGGTGAATGGGACACCACAGTCCAGAAAGGTGAAGGGGACACCACAATCCAGAAAGGTGAATGGAAGGCCACGTGCATCCAGTCATGACACAGGAACAGCCAAGACTCCCTATAGTCTGCGCAGAAGATTGAAGAAACGTAAGTGGACATTCTAAACCTCACGTATTTCCTGAATATCTGTTTGAGCATTACTCTTGGGTTTCTAATAACCATGGCAAAATTTATCTGACTCTGTTGCATATTGTCGTCGTTGTGGCTCTACAGCCCTTTGTTGGGCCTTGGGCACTTTTTCAGTTTCTTGATCCTATACACAGTCAGTAGGACTCCTTGGACAGTGGGTCTGCCCATCACATCTGTTACACATTGCCATAACTAAATTGATAATGAATTAAACATTTACAAATTGACAACTCACTTTTTATCTTGGTTCCCCCCCCATACTGTTGAGTTTTTCCAGCTTCAGACTTTGTGATGATTTGCTTCACCATCAAATTCTGTCAAGATAAGGATACTCCAGGTTCCTAGGTAATAGTTCGTTATGATTTACAGTGGTATATAAAGAAATGAGTGTTGCCAATGGTAATGCTTCTGGAAAAACTGTCCACAATTTAGTGTGATGAAAAAAAGAACGTAGAAAATGTATAATTAAAATGTTAGAAGAGGTAAATTCCATACTGTGGAAATAATAATTTAAGTGTGGCGCCAGGCCGCGCCATAGCTCAAGCGGTTAGTGGCTGACTGCCCACCGTGGTGGCCCAGGTTCTATCCCGGCTCTGGTCAAATGGGATTTGTGGTGGACAAAGAGGTGATGGGGCGGATTCTCCCCGAGTACTTCGGTTTCTTGTGCCAATCTTCAATCCACCAAATTTTCCATCATCATAATCACCCGGAGCAGGCTACAATAGGCCAATTAGTGGCCACCGTGCCGAATGTACCCAGTTGGACTCCACCCCCCACTGAGCGAATTAAAAAAAAAAGTATGGCGCCAGAGCTTAGGTCCAATGGTTCAAACTGCAGAACTTCAAAACAAAAATTGTTAACGATCTAATTAGGTGTTTATTCATTCATGTTTAAGAAATGTGTTCAAGTACATCTTTTATTATGGAATTGGTTGGCACAAAGAGGGTGAAGAGGAAACTCAGGAACGGCAGCCATTTCCTTCATGTCTGGCAAGGAGAGAAGGCTGTACTGCATTATCAATACTGGATTCTGAAATAAGACAGTACAGTAGAAGCTGTGGATGCAGTGCAAGAGTTTATTTCCAAGGACTTTCTTAAACAGTGAGAAGCTGGCTTATATTTCCATAAACAATGATGTAACATCACTGATTCCAAGTTTTGACAGTCATGCATTAATGTAGAACCTAGCCTATGATTCAAATTTAAAGAAATTTAAGTATCTGTACTAAAATCTACATTTCTTCCAATGTTGGAACCAGTATTTAGTATTTATTATCAGGCCAGTACAATATTTATGTTACTAGTATCAACTTCACTCAACACAGTACAGTGAAAATTGCATGATTTGAATTTATGTAATTCAGTATTTGTATTTTTCTTTCCGAAGAACATTGAATTAATTATGTTTTTACTGTATGTTGCAGAGATTGCTAAAACTGCCTCTCAGGCTACAGACGGTTATCTGAGTGATAGTGACTTTTCAGCCAGCAACAGTGAGTACATGCCTAGTGACACTGACAGGTCTTCGTCAAGTGAAGATGAAAGTGTTGAGGATAAAGATGAGACAATGAAGGAACCAGAATATCAACCCAGAAGAAAGCAAGGACATCAGGAGATTGAATATGTGAGTTCAAGGATAAATTGCTCTGGTAAACCTAATAAGGAGAGGTCTGACAATCCAAGGTTTTTGCTTTATAAATTTCTTCATCGTGGACAACCTAGGTATAAATCAGAGGAGAAAACAGATTTTAGAGAAGCAGAGAGTGGTGATTGTGTGGGTTATATCATAGTGTCATCAGTATTTAGACGATATAGTGATGAACATAGAATGGTTAATGAATAAAGAATTGAATAGGATTCAGAAAGGAGTCATGGCCTAATCAAGTTACTATCCTGGCATTTGTCTGAAGGGACTGAGGAAAATCATGAAAAACCTCATTCAGAGAGCCATTGCCCCACGCACAGTTTGAACCAAACACCTCCCAAATGTAAGTCTAAAACATTACTGCTCTATCACCTGGTTTGTTTGTTTGTTTGTTAGGTAGGTAGGTAGTTAGACAAGTAGAATATCCTTTGGATTTCTGGCTCTCATTCCAGCAACTGTGAAGGGTGTCATCTTCTGGGTTGTAATCTCTTGTAGTTTTGAGAAAGGCCAATGTTATGAGGAACATATCACCTCCATCTTCAGTGTCAAAAAGCAAGCAAGTGAGAGACCAGCAGAAATGGGCAGCAGCTGCTTGCTGCTTGCGTGTATCACTGTTCAAGCCTGAAGGTGGAGGTGATACATTTCCCAGAAATGTCAGGCTCTCTCTGAACTACATGGCATAACAACCTAGAAGGCTTTACTCTTGAAGTAGAAAGAAATTATGAATAAATGAATGGGGTAGTTGACTGAATAAGAACCCCAGTTTTGGCAATCATAAATTTTGAATGGAGTGAATAAGTTACAGACCAAAGTGCATTTATAGAATGTTTCTTCATGATTAACTGCACAACTCATTCTTTGGTGTTCTTGCTTTAAAATCTTCAACTGCTTGATGCATTGTCAGGTACTGGAAGCAGATGAGTTCTTTACCAGTCAGAAGTCGGTGACATCTGATCACACACTAAGCAGACTGCAACAACCACGCCTAGCAGAGAAACAGCTTCAGCAGTTGCTAGGAGACATGACATTATCACACAAACAGGCTGTGTACAACCTTTGTGCAGAGCACACACAGCTCTTTGCCAAATGGATGTTCTCCCTAAGGTGTGAGGACATTTGGTTCTCTTTGTGTTTAACCAGATTTCAAGCTATATGTGTCCTTACTCTTGGTAACATCAACTACATTACAAGTACATGACTGAACATCTTACTGAAAGTGATTCAAGTACCATATATTCACTGTATTTCATTTACCATAGATGAGTGAAAAAATCTTTTAACCACTTATACAATAATTCAAATATAGTGTCTAATCAGTTTTGACATTCTGACTTGCATCCCAGAAGATAGTATTTTAGGTAAGAAGGTAAAGCTATCCGTTTAACAGGCTGCGAAGGCCCATAGAGTTGTGAGATGTTGAGGCTCCCACAGTTGGCTCACAGATGGTGGTGAGGTTGTCAGCCTTACGTGCTGGCCGCCCATTATCCCCCAGGAGGATTCCTGGTACTCATTTCTGTTAGAGACCAGGTCAACCCCAGGGCCATAGTTATCTGCAAGGATTAGGTCGATTGAAAAAGTGCACCTCAACACATGACCTTCTGGCTTGTAGCATAATGTTTCAACCAACTATGCTAGCATGTGCTGCTGAATAATTGTGTGGCAGTTCTAAAAGATTAAAAGAAAAGTGCACTGTTACGAACAGTAAGTCGTGAAGGTACATTTCAAGTACGGAGATAAGCATTTTCTGTTGAAAACATTCCCAACTGTCAGCTGAAGATGTAACTAACTGCATGTTCATGAACTGTGTCTGTCTCTTCGCAGGCATAATACTGTATTTAAAGACTAACAAATCCTTGTAATTGCAGGGAGCAGTATAGTGTGTTGCTGTATGGGCTGGGCTCAAAGCGTCACACATTGCACCAGTTCCGAACCAAGATGTTGCAAGACCAACTGGTGCTGGAAGTGAATGGGTTCTTCCCCAGCCTGACCATTAAGGAGGTAGATAATGTCATTATGTATTTTATTTGATGTTGTTCTGTGATACATACATTTGCACAGTACCTCAGATTATCATCTCATACCCTGTAGCTGTATGCAGGTTCATAAAAGGAAGAGGAAGTCGTGAAAAGTAAAATGGCACCAGTAACAAGCAGCATCGTCACCTTCATTGTAAATAAGCCGTGAATCCCAATTCTTGGTCCCCCCTCCACAAGGAAGATTGTGCAAGATTGCAGTGTATTCGAAGTGTGGTATATGGTATTGCTTCACATTCAGTTGTTTGCTTTCAATTAGAGCCATATGAATACATACATATAGTGGAATCCCCGTTTAACGTTTTCAGTTCCAAATTTCCCCCGATTTAATACTGTGTCCTAATTATTCCAAGTCAGTAATCTCAAGGAACCATTGAATGGGAACTGCTGTGTGTGTGTGTGTGTGCATGTATGTTAGTAATAATTTTCAGCTATTTTATTTGTGCATTTTGGAATATTTTGCTGCAGATTGTAGACTCAATAGCAGATGATCTGTTAGAGTTATCAGAACGTCCAGGAGGGATGCTAGAATGCCTGGATATAATTGAACAGCAGCTGTCCAGTGAGCTGTTTATCATCATTCATAACTTGGATGGCCCTATGCTGCAGTCTAACAAGAATCAGGATATTATTGCGCGGCTTGCCAAGATGGAACATATACACCTAGTTGCCTCAATCGATCACATAAATGCTCCACTCAGTGAGTTCCTATTTTATTTCAATTTTAAAATAGTAGCAAGATCCGTGTGTCTCCCCGTGTTGTTAGTTTCATTTTGGTAATGCATTTGTTAAGTGCTGGCTGTTTTTCCATTACTCTCAGACTTAAATCACCAAAATACGTGGGGCAATCCAAAAGTTTTCGAAATTTGAATTTTGCACGCGAATGGTTATGAGTATATCGAAATACCGCTAGGTGTCTCCTCACACTTCCTTCTTGAATCAGTGTGGCAAGCGGCGTCAAGTTGAGTGGTTGGGTTTATTGTTGGTGAACATATTTCCATTGTTGTGTTTCCGTGAGTTTGCGGTTTTGCGAAGGCTGACCTGAGAAAGCAGCATGTCTGTATAAAGTTTTGTTTCAAACTTGTGAAAACCGCTGCAGAAACGCACCAGATGTTGAAGCAAGCTTTTGGTGAAAACAGTTTAGGCCAGACAGAAACTTACAACTGGTATAAGCATTTTAAAAATGGCCAAACATTGACTGATGATGACGATCGTTCGGGACAGCTGTCAATGGGCAAAACACCAGAAAATGTCACGAAAGTTAGGGATCTGATTCTGCAAGATCGTAGACTGACCATCCAAGACCTCTGTAACACCTTGGGACTAAGTTATGGTACATGTCAACGAATTTTGTCAGAGGAAGTGAACATGAGGAGGATTGCGGCGAAGTTTGTGCCAC